GAACACTGTGGTGAAGTCCTCCATGCTGGTTACAGCTGGGATCACTGTGGTGAAGTCCCCCATGCTGGTTACAGCTGGGAACACTGTGGTGAAGTCCCCCATGCTGGTGAAGTCCCCCATGCTTGTTACAGCTGGGAACACTGTGGTGAAGTCCTCCATGCTGGTTACAGCTGGGATCACTGTGGTGAAGTCCCCCATGCTGGTTACAGCTGGGAACACTGTGGTGAAGTCCCCCATGCTGGTTACAGCTGGGAACACTGTGGTGAAGTCCCCCATGCTGGTTACAGCTGGGATCACTGTGGTGAAGTCCCCCATGCTGGTTACAGCTGGGAACACTGTGGTGAAGTCCCCCATGCTGGTTACAGCTGGGAACACTGTGGTGAAGTCCCCCATGCTGGTTACAGCTGGGAACACTGTGGTGAAGTCCCCCATGCTGGTTACAGCTGGGAACACTGTGGTGAAGTCCTCCATGCTGGTTACAGCTGGGAACACTGTGGCGAAGTCCCCCATGCTGGTTACAGCTGGGAACACTGTGGCGAAGTCCCCCATGCTTGTGAAGTTCCCCATGCTGGTTACAGCTGGGGACACTGTGGTGAAGTCCCCCATGCTGGTGAAGTTCCCCACCTGGTTACAGCTGGGGACACTGTGGTGAAGTCCCCTATGCTGGTAGAGCTGAGAACACTGTGGTGAAGTCCCCCATGCTGGTGAAGTTCCCCATGCTGGTTACAGCTGGGAACACTGTGGTGAAGTCCTCCATGCTGGTTACAGCTGGGAACACTGTGGTGAAGTCCCCCATGCTGGTTACAGCTGGGAACACTGTGGTGAAGTCCTCCATGCTGGTTACAGCTGGGAACACTATGGTGAAGTCCCCCATGCTGGTTACAGCTGGGAACACTGAGGTGAAGTCCCCCATGCTGGTTACAGCTGGGAACACTGTGGTGAAGTCCCCCATGCTGGTTACAGCTGGGAACACTGTGGTGAAGTCCCCCATGCTGGTTACAGCTGGGAACACTGAGGTGAAGTCCCCCATGCTGGTTACAGCTGGGAACACTGTGGTGAAGTCCTCCATGCTGGTTACAGCTGGGAACACTGTGGTGAAGTCCCCCATGCTGGTTACAGCTGGGAACACTGTGGTGAAGTCCTCCATGCTGGTTACAGCTGGGAACACTATGGTGAAGTCCCCCATGCTGGTTACAGCTGGGAACACTGAGGTGAAGTCCCCCATGCTGGTTACAGCTGGGAACACTGTGGTGAAGTCCCCCATGCTGGTGAAGTCCCCCATGCTGGTTACAGCTGGGAGCACTGTGGTGAAGTCCTCCATGCTGGTTACAGCTGGGAACACTATGGTGAAGTCCCCCATGCTGGTTACAGCTGGGAACACTATGGTGAAGTCCCCCATGCTGGTTACAGCTGGGAACACTGTGGTGAAGTCCTCCATGCTGGTTACAGCTGGGAACACTATGGTGAAGTCCCCCATGCTGGTTACAGCTGGGAACACTGTGGTGAAGTCCCCCATGCTGGTTACAGCTGGGAACACTGTGGTGAAGTCCTCCATGCTGGTTACAGCTGGGAACACGGCGGTGAAGTCCTCCATGCTGGTTACAGCTGGGAACACTATGGTGAAGTCCCCCATGCTGGTTACAGCTGGGAACACTATGGTGAAGTCCCCCATGCTGGTTACACTGAAGGGGAGCTCGTGTGGTGTGTTGATCGTGGTGCATGTTTGCCCAGTGGTTTGGTTTGGTTTGGCAAGCACACACACACACGCACATAAACACGCACACAAACACGCACACACAAACACCCACACACGCGCACGCACGCACACACAAACACGCACACACACACACACACACAACAAGTATTTACATATATTTATTATATTTTTTAGGGTGGGGTGGGTGAAAGTTCTGAGCCTAACTTCAAAGTGTGTAGTGTATACCCTTAATAGTAAGCATGTATAAAGCACAATACTTGCCATGCTGAGAGGCTACATTTCAACCAATACGCAACCAGGCGGCAAGTTTCTGTTGGCATCAAAGTGACTTAGTATTCTCGCATTTCTCGGTTGGTGAAAATGGACAGAATTGGCTACAGCGCTGTCATCAAATATCTGTAACTGATAAGGTTAACTCCAACTGCCATGGATGCGGACATGGTGCCAACTTCAGGGGATGGTGCTTCTTCCTTTGCCACTGTTAAGGGGTGGGCAGTGGAGTTTAATAAGAGGAGAAGAGAGAAGATGACAAAGATCACAATGACCTAGAATCACTACCATTAAGGAAATGTTGATAAATACATGACATGATTATGGATGGTCGACGACTCACCACACGTTACATAGCCCATGCAGAAGGCATGTCTCATGAGAGGGTGAACAACAGTGGCATGGGTGGCCCAGCCGTATAAGGCGCCGCGATTTGCTGTGCAGAGTTGCGTCCCTTGGGCACGCCAGGAACTTATCATTGTGGGTTCGAATCCCGGTTCGGCCCGATTATGTTTCTAGGTTTGTTAGCATCATACCCGTGCTCGTGGGTTTCACCGAAGTAGTAAACGTCCGAGACCTGCATCACTTCGGGCTTTCCTGCCACATTAAGCTGACACGCCGTGATATAACTACAATAATGTCAAAAGCGGCGTTAAACCCAACTGCAGTTACAAAACCAGATTATATTTTATTCAAAACAATGAGCCTGGGTTTTTAAAGAAAAAAAACAACCTGGCAACAACGTAATTTTGGTTGCCAGGCAATTTTTTTTTTAAAAGTCTGAAGCATCATTATTTTTTTCAGGAAAAACATTTCGGAGATAATTTTTTTTATATTGGGTGTAAATATGACGAATAAACTTCAAGTAAATATATTTTTGATGTACACAGATAGCTGGGATATAAATACACATATCAATGCGGGGTACACCAGAAATGGGCTTCACACATTGTACCCATGTGGAGAATCGACACCGGACCTTCAGCGTGAACTTCTATGCATCACCACCGCCCCTTATTAGGATATATCGATATACACACTGATTTATCTTCTGAGTAGGCGACAAACCACCTGTTGAGATCTAGACAGACCAGTGTAGTTTGATACATTTCAAAAAGGGTTGAAAAGGGAATTTATTTGTTGTGCCTGATAATCCGTAGCTACCGACCTCGCTGCCCCAGGATGGATGCCTCAACCCTATCAGTTCACAGCCAGGTGTTAATTACATTGTCTTCTTCAAACAGCTTCTGTGGCAATGATCCGGCGGCGTTTATTTGAGATCCGAAATCTCTATTAACAATCCGGAGTTTTCATAATACCAGAAAGTCTTTACATTTCTTGTACTTTTTTCATACAACTAGTTGCGGTACGAACAATTTTAATTTCTTTACGCCATAGTTTTTACAACATCCTGCTTGTAGTGGAGACCCGTCCTGTATTCCTTCAATTTGGTCTTTCAATGTGGTATCGGTTACTCGGCATCTGTTAGAGGAAGTGTGGGAAGTCGGGGGCAGGGAAGGGGCGGGAAGGTAAGAGAGAACCCGTGAATTGTACAGTGTCCGTGTATTGTCTCCGACTGTTTAATCCAAGGTAAATGTGCCTATCTATACAGAGAGGAACTTACACAGCATGTTACAAAGGCCTCATCTATTGCAGCTGCTCGCTGTTTATGCATTAAGATGCGTAATATCTGGTATGTCTAAATAATTTGTGTTTTCGCTTGAATTTGTTTCGGTTTTAAACTTGAAAGCCTTCAAAAGCCTAATCCAGTACTCGTTAAATCTTCTAAGAAAATTACTTTTGACTTTTGAATATATATTCCAATGAAAGTTCCACAACAATGCATTCACTATACGATGTGGTGGAAGGGAGACAACTCTGTTATTGTGCTATGTCGGTCGCACCTTCAGGTTCAGACTAACATCTTGTGAAATGAACATACGAACATCGTATCTTACAGGAAAAACAGTTGTTAAATTATCTTAATAAAAATATAATAAAAAGGAGCCCAGTGCCTCACTTCATTTTCAGATACTGCAGTAATCTAGGCTTGCCAAACATTATAGACTTGCATGGGTTGTATTGGATATATTCGTATCAGGGTTTGCGTGACAGACTACTTCAGGTTTAACTGTAATACATGTTTTTGTCAAAGATCGGACACAAAACGCGATAATATTGTTTCACAAATATCCATATGGGGTGTATCATTAAAATTATTTTAAAATCATAAACACGTACGTTTCACCAGTCCGTTATGTTTATTGTTTAAAACTACACCGTGAGATGGACCTCACAAGCTCTATACATTTGAGGTGACCTGATTACAGAACTCATCACAAAGTTGTTATCGTTTGTTTCTTGCTTAACGCCGCACTCAGCAATATTCCAGCCATATGACGACAGTCTGTAAATAATCCAGTCTGGGCCAGACAATCCAGTGATTGACATGATGAGTAACGATCCACGCAATTGGGATACGATGACATACATCAACAAGTCAGCGAGCCTGACCACCCGATCCCGTTAGTCGCCTCTTACATCAAGCATAGTCGTCTTTTACGGCAAGCATGGGTTGCTGAAGACCTATTCTACCCCTGATTTTCGGGGGTCTAAAGTTTTGATCGCCATCCCTGCTTGTGCCCATGTAAGCGAGCAGTTCTGTTTAACCGTGTCCGTTTTACGCAGGTTTGAACTGTCTTAAATCTTTCTTCTGCACGTAACGTTCCCACACAACGATGCACAACGATTCTTGAAATACACTTGCTCTTTGAACTGAACCGTCAGTCGGTACTTCTATTTAACGGCTGTATTAACGTCTATTAGCGAATAGAATCTCCACATTAACGTGTTCTGTTACACAGTGAGAGAAAACTCACATATTTATCGGAAATGCCGCTGAGCGGGTTTTGTGTTATCCAGCGTTCGCGACGAGCCGTGTGTACCATTGTGACCGCTAAAAATAACCTGCAGAACCAGTTTTACAGGTGAGCCGAGCGCGCAAGCGATATCGGGACCGGTCCGACGTTATATTGTATACGGCAGTGCCCGTGGTCTTGGGTTCTTGTGAATCAGGGCTGTTTTCATTGGCAGTGTATTTATAGTGTCCTCAACCAGCCCTGGGTTGGGTTCTGTGACATCGTTGGGTATACACAGGAAAGCGGGTAGATTTACATTTTCATTCTCGACACCCGGGAGGATTTAACTTAATTTTCTGAGGTGAGTGAAAATGCTGAATTTTATAACCCGTTCCACTCTTTAGTTGTCTGCCCTGTACATGAATATCACAGGTACAATAGGCATGAGTGTTTATACTATTGTCTCCTGATAGTGCAGACGGGGTAGGTGGCAACATGTTCTATATTACTGGTATAGCTTGATCCGTTAATATATATATATATATACATATTTGTTCTCATTTGATAACCCATTATCTGTAAATATGTTTAATATCGCTACACCAGAGGGACAACGCACGCCTTGTAACCGCCTGTTGGGCAACACCCTATGGAAAAACGTCGTGTAGTCAGTACCGCCAATATACCCTTGGACAGGGAACGTGATGGCACCGGCACTCGGTGTTTATATACAAAGCATTATATGTCATGGATTATGTCGTAAAACATTTGTGAATAATATGTCTTGTATACAGCATAGCAAACAGAGGTACCCTTTCACCCCAAATTCCTCTCATAGTTGACATTCCTTCTACACTTATTAATAGTGTTCTACCACATGGAATATCATTTTCAGAATCGTTAAATATATGCCACTCTAGTTTTCACTTACTTGCCTAGGGTCTATCTGTGTTGTGTAATACAGGACACAGCTCAATATCAACAAGTTCGTAAAATGAAGGTGTGGTGATTACACTGATAGAATCAAATATTGTCTATATTTGGTCAACTATTTTCTGAATACAAAGAGAGATAAAACATTCGACTTCCTCCACTTAAACGTATGAGCCACATTCTCTCTTTTTATGAAGACGGGAACATGAAATCCTTCAAATTCCACCAACAGTCAGCATTGTATATGTACACTTGTGTTGTTGTACGTAGGACAGACAGTGCCATCAATATGGAGCCTATATAAACCCCACCCATACTGTGTCCTCCATACTTTGGGTTGGAATACATTTTAACATGTTTGTGTATTCCTCATCACGGGAAATACATTATTCATTTGCATACACACTCGCGTAGTTTTGCTGTAAACATTAAGTTGTTAGTTATCATTAGCAATGAAGAAATCTGTATCAGGGGTAGATACGCACACTATATAAATAAGTCTTTGACTGGCTTTTAGAAGTAATACACACAAGGAAGAGATTATTGATGCCTACTTCTTAATATTGAGGAACACAACTTTTCGGAGTATATACCTACTCCGTCAGCAGGTAGATAAATAGTACTACCAATCCCACATGCTACTTCAATATTTTACAGTGTTCAAACACATTCAAATTTACAACAAATAAATATGGTTTAAGAAAGCAATTAAATTATTTAGATATTAAATATTGTGGCTGCATTTATTTCTAAAGTAATCACGTAGGTGTTTAATTCCTCAGTTTTTATCAGAAATCCCATGCTGTTTATCCCATGTGTGTCAGCACCTGGTACTGCAAGGGGCTGGAGACAATACAAGGTGCACGTGTCAGACGTATACAGTCTTGTACAATAACACAAGGTGTTTTCCTGGGGGCTGAATCATGTTCCTTTCATTAAACCACCAGCAGGGGACAATGGTGGCTAATTAATTACCAATCTTGTGTTTTGGGTTACATAACATTCCAAACATGTCGCAACAATCAACACTTGCTTGGTGTACCAGTGTTAAGACCGGATTAGGCCTCTTCTTATTGGGTCAATCTTGAATACGTATGATCAGGTTTGGCTAAAGGGCAGTTTGGAGGGAATGTATTGTTGATACGAAGAAATAGAAAAGACTGACCATGTGTGATGGCACGTGTTGGATGGTGTAGATGTATCGTAGCAAGTTAGGCCTGTGAGACCAAATGTCTAGTGTGATCACGCGCTTGATAAGGTTACTAACATCTGCACCGGATCGCCAAATGGCTCCCCAAAAGTCAACCCCAAATCCACAAAAGCCATACTCATACTCAAATGAAAGGAAAGTTGAAGTAGCCATCACACGCCCCAAGACTCGGTCGCACAACCAATACCTGTGACAAGGAATGTCCATCTTGCAATCAACCTGAATCCATTGCTCTCTTGTTACTGAAACGTCCAGACCATGCCCCAGCCCGGCCTCGGTTAAAACAAGAATTGCTGTTAGATCTGCTATCTGTCATAGATCTCCTAAAGCCAAGAGATGCAATAGCGAAGGCCGTACTGTTTCTGAAAGATGGTTAGCTACTCAGACGTATATAAACAGCACAGCCCAAAAATCTATCAGTTTCTAAAAATAATAAATCAAATCATATCAATACAAAAATAGAAATCATATCAATACAAAACCAGAAATCATATCATTACTAAAACTCCCAATAGATATTTGTACCCTACTCACATGAACAGGTCCGCGGAAATTCCTAAGGCAGAAGCCGACCTCTTAAACACTTAAAGCAACAACAACGTACCGAAACGCCACATAGAAAGAACAATGTAGTAGAAATCCAATAGCGCGTTATATCATTATATGATACACGTGATTGCACAAGTCTGTGCCAACTGAGATTTATTCCCCCAGAATTTCAAATAACGCGATGGGAGGATTCAAATTCAGAAAACTTCGACTCCCTTGAAGCGTTGTTTACCCTGCCCTATTATACATACACGGGGACAAATCAATATCATTATTAGTCATACTGACGTATGGATCAAGAGAATGTCTTGTACCTTAAAGAAATAGTCCCACTAGACAGGCAAATTGTGTTGTTGTTCGTCTCCCGTTCACTGTAATATCAAGTGTGAATCATTGCGTTTTAATGCAACAAGCGCATAAGGTCTAATTAACACACTCACATTATGTATACTGTCAGCCTCATAGGTTTGTATATGTTTATGTTCAGTCTAGGTAATATTATTTTATCCCGTTAATATGGCAAATTAATCTTCTTTCTTTTAATGCGGAGTTTAATAAGTACGACAAACGGTCCGACGTACCTTAATGAATTTACTCTTGATAAAATGCCGCCTTCAAGACAGAAGGTCCTTCTTCTATAGTTCTGTTCTGTAACGCTCGTTGTTCAGAAATAAACTTGCCCGAGACAAGTTTCTGTATAACCGACTTTGCTTTACACAAAGTACAGAAAACGTATTAGCAGACTAAAATTATTTACAGAATATTTTATTTCAGGTACGTTTGTTATGTTCACTTCTCACTCACAGTTACAGCTCACCAAATAAATACAAAAGTACCATGAGTTCAATATACCCGTTTGTCAAGATGTCAACAATGTTATCCAGGTTTTAATCTCAACTCACAAACAAACCGACCAGACAGGTGAAACAACCCATCGCACCGCCCCAGCAGTCAAGTCAACATTTCGCATGTGCTTCAGGCGGTACTAAGTTAGAGTTATCTCCCCTGGAACACAGCGCGACCGATTTAGCATCACTTAAAACATATTCTACTCATTATGGTAACATTCATTCCCGGCCATATATGACACTGATCTGTGAACATGATGATTGTTTTACAATACAGGAGTACAATTAATGAATTGTTGGTGTGAATATTGTATATTGAAGAAAAGAAAAGTACATTAAGTTTCAGAATCCAACATATTGGTTCTCAATCAAAACGCCAGACTTTTCAATTCTTGGTGTATGGGTAGATTTGTGAAAAAAAACTGTCGGTAGATGGGGAATATATAGATATTATTTCTTGGTGTATGGATATATTTGTGTAACATTTCGGTCAGCAGGTGGGGAATATATGTTTGTGTATATACAGATCTGAAAACTGTTTTAATGAAATGTCGCCCTACTGGTTGGGTTCAGTTAACGTGGTTCTGTTGTGTCACAGATTCATGTCGGGAATTGATATATATCTTGAACACATGTTCGACTGTCTTCTCTTCTGTTGCAGATGAGGGTCCTACCGGGACCTGCAGTAGTTCTTCTGCTGGTTGTCTCCCTGACGTCTGCTCAGGAAACTTGCCCACCAGACGGCGGAACGTGCCGGGAGAACCCGATGGCCATCAAGAAAACTACCACTACTGATCCATCAGCTCATTACTATATCGGAGGCCTGTTTGGTATCCACGAGAAGGGCCCCACTGCCTACTCCTGTAGTGACAAATTCAGGCTACGCGGTGTCATGAACCTGCAGGCATTCCTTTGGGCAATTAATTACTTTCAATCACGACTCCCAGCAGACGGAAACAGAGTATCCATTGGAGGTGTCGCGTTTGACAACTGTCAGCGCAAGGAGCAGATGGTAGAAAATATCATGGGGTTTGAACAGTGTCGGAACAGGTTAACAGGCGTCGACAGACGACAGGTCTTGGCTTTTGTAGGTCCAGACACAAGCAGCGAAGCGCTGGCAGCAGCCGCTCTTTTGAAGGACATGTCCTTGACTACAGTCAGCCATGCGGCCACGTCACCGGAACTGAGCGATGGGAACATGTACCCGTACTTCCTCCGTACCGTCCCATCAGATGCTAATGATGCTGCAATCCTGGCTGGCATTCTGGCTAAAGAACTGGGGGCAAAGTATACACAGCTTATTTATATGGACAACTCTTATGGGAAACACGGGATGGAGGAATTCAAGAAACATGCCAAAGCTAACGGTATCTGCATCGTACAGAGTATTATGGTCTCCTCAGATGTGTCCACCTCAGCGGACAGCGATGTTCTGCGTAAGCTTATTAACAAGCAGAACGTGAAGTATGTTGTCCTCTTCACAGATGGTCCTACAGCCAACAGAGTCCTGCAGTCATCTCAGGCATACAACGGCCGATCAAGCCAGAATTCTGTACGATTCATATTTCTTGGAACTTCTTCATGGGGAAACTCGGAATTGTATCTCAACAATGCATACAGCGCTGCTAACAATAGCATTGTAGTGTCTCTATCTACGGATCCTTTATACACGAACGCCATCAACGCCTTCAGAAATTACTGGTATGATTTAAAACCTAACAATAGTACATCGGGCATCGACAACAAATACTTGACAAAGTATTGGGAAGAGAGGTTCAACTGTGAAGTAGACGGCACGTCCAACGCTTGTGTGCTCGCTACCCAGTCGCTTCGGGACGAACTGGACGTGTACGTCCCATACACCATTATGGCTGTCGACGCCATCATCAGGGGCGTTTATTTGGCTGCCACAAAAGCCTGCAACATATACGACCTTTGTTCTGACCTCCTCAATATTGGCAACAGAGGTACCGCCATTTTCAGAGGTATTAAACAAGTAGAGGCCTTCGGGGAAGGTGGTAGGGTCTTGTTCGACCAGAGCGTTGGAGCAAACAACAAATACGTGACTGGCGATCCTTCTAGTGGCAATGGCGGCTTCACCAACTACAAAGTGTATTCCGTGGTCAAGGGCTCATATATTGAGGTAGATATAATTTTAGTGGTTTTAAACGCATTCAGAAAATATTGATAAGGCACTCGGCTCGCCCCAATTCGGTCATCTCATGTCATGTTGGCCAGCATTGAGAGGAACTGGAATTTTGTATGAAGACTAGTTCTCAGTTACAGATGCAAAGCCAGGTAATACTTTGAGCCTAACTCGAACAAAAATTGAATAACACCTTGCAACAATATATTTTTGTAGCCAACAAATTCCTTTTTTGTCAACAGTCTGAAGCATAATTATTATTTTCAAACATTTTCTGGGACAATTTCTTTTTTTTTCGATAAAAAAGATCAGATGATCGGTCCTAAATGTTGCTTGTTACAAAAATGTATACTTCACAGATTGAGCTCTTTACAATTCGACCGTCACCGACAGTGATAGCATTCTACCCTTATCAAGGGGGCCAGGGTGGCCTAGTTATCTAAGGCGACGCACTAAGCTGTGGACATGGGTTCAAATCCCAGATTCGCCATTTGTCAGCATCATACCTGTCCTCGTTGGTTTCATCAAAATGGTAAACGTCTCAGACCTGCATTACTTAAGCCCAACCCATTCACTCCAAAATGAAGCTGGCAGTTATATACACTATAAACCCCAACTCATTGACTCTCTTTTCTATATTGAACTGAATCAATATCAAGGGCACCTCTGACTACTTCACTTAGACCAGTCAAGTAAAGCTAAGTGATCAGGTCTATGATTCAGTCTAGTCGGATATTATATGTACCATTTATTCAAGAAACTACAGGGGTAAAGTGCACAACAAGAATTGGGGTGAAGTTGGGTCAGGCTAGGATTAGGCAGACGAACTGCGACATAGCCTTGTTCAAGTACATGTTGATTCAAATCTGAAAACACAAGATTCTGTAGGATGAGAGGGGTGATTTACTTCCGTGTGAAAATACGGGAGAGTGTGAGGATATTTATAGCCATTCATTCATGCTACAGCTGACCTACATACAACTCTACAGGAGATGCATCACAAATGGATCGCTACCTACGCTTATACAAACAGGAATGTGTCTACAGAATGTACTGGGGTGTCAGTGGGCGCCAGGGGCAGCTAAACGGTTAACGCCGTCTCACATCACGCCGATAGCTTGGCTTCAGGTCAACACGTGGGTACACGGTGTGAAGCGCATTCCTTGTGTCCAAGTCGGGATGTTGCATGATTATTTCTTAAAGCTCACTCGATTATAATCCTCATGATTGTCATCAATCATTTATTGTAATCATAAAAACGAAATCTTTACGTACATTCGTCATCAACACCAACGCGGGTGAGATTGACAACAGGTAAAAGCGCTCGATTTTCTGTGTTTCCAAAGACGCTAGTTCATATCCCATCAAGGATGCGCTAAACGTGGCTCACACAACGACTGTACAATCGTTATGTTGTTTAGATATTGGTAATTGTGTGGGCAGTATCTTCTCGTAATTTCCAATCGAATAACCATAAAACATCGGATCGTCTATTTGGTTTTGTAGTTCGGCAACATTAACTATAAAGCTGGAGCCAACCTGACCAGGACACGGGGGCTGGACATGAGGTTCTACCAGAACAAGGACGTCTGTAACTACCCCTGCACCGACTGCGGCGAAGTATCCACCACACAAGCACCTACCGCTGCCATGACAACCGCCCCAACGGCAACGTCCACTAAGGACCCAACTGAAGGCGGGAACTTCACCTTCGTCAAGTTCCCCACCAGCCAGGAGCTGACCGGCGCCTACTTCAAGTCGCCTCGCAATGGGGAGATGTGGATGACCAGGTACTGGACTTATTATGCTAATAAAAGCTTTCTAAACGAGGCCATAAGCGATACCAGGGGCTGGAAGACCTAAGGTAGCACGTGACCTGAATACTCCACAGTGGAAAGCCTTTCCGCACAATTCTACCCATGTGTAACAAAGTCCGATCACGTTATGACCTCTCTATGGCTACCGTTAAGCAGTAAAACATTTATAAAAGGTAACATCGAAAGCTTCCATTGGTCTGAATACATTGAAACTTGGTATTTCCGAAGTATCCCCCCTTGTGAAATCGTCCAGATCGGCAGTGTCCGGTGATGTAAAGCTAGGTTTCCATGAATCAGATTTAAACGAGTTTTGTGCAATAACGGGTCATGTAACATGGACATATGCACTTCATCGAAAGATGCCTTTTAGATTTCTTATGAATTCACACACTTAAAAATTGGCAACGCAGTGATCTGATATGAAGTTATAAGATATAATGTACTACACAGACGAGAAAGTTGTCTAACAGCAGGGGGCTTTTGTGCTCTGAATCTCTAACCAGATAAGTTAACAAAAGAGTATTGATACCTCCGCTTCCCAAAGTAAGGCCATCGGTCTGTAGAGACTACTCCTCCTTGTGCAAAGTGGTAACATCTATTGCTCGATCCCACACTAAGCTTAAGCAGGGATATAACTGAAATGATTTCAAAAAAACATACAAACCAACTCACACTGAATAACATGTTTGTTCCAGATTTGAAATCGGGCAGAGATGGATTATCGCCCTTGGTGTGCTTGCCGGCCTTGGCATCTTGGCCGTCATCATTTTCGAGATCTACATCCTGTACAAGCTTCTGGGGACGCGCATGGGCAGTCGCTGGAGGACAATGTGGCTAGGGCAGCTTCTTCTCTTCGGCATCTTCCTCAGCTTCCTCACCCTCTTCGCCTTTATTCCCGTCCCCACCAAGGCCACGTGCGCACTCACCAGGTTCGGCGTGGGCGTGTCCTACTCCATCATGTTTGCTGTTTTGTTGGTGAAGCTGATGGTGATACTAACGTCTAAGACGTCGGAGGCCTCCCTCCTCCCCGGCGACATCGAGTCCCCCAACTACTTAAAGGGGATCTACCAGTTCCTCATGTTCATGTTCGCTGTTGGGGTCCAAGTTGTTATTGATGCCCAATGGTTGATTACGGTGCCGCCGGAAGCTGTTCTCGTGACGGACAATGGTGGGAACCAGGCCTGGGTGTGCAACCACTACACCTGGAAGGTGAACACCGGCATGCTCAACATGACAACGTTTGTCCGCAACGACTTTGAAAACCATCTCCTATCTCTCGTCTACATCATGTTCCTCATCCTCATCACCACCGTCCTCGCCCTCAACGCCCATGGCATCATCACCAACCACAGAGAGAGCATCTTCATCGGTATTGCGGCAGGGTTCAGCATCCCCATATGGCTATCATGGGGCTTGGTGGGAGGTCTTAACAGAGACCACGTCGTTGCTCAAGAGTTTGGTGACGCCTGTATAGCCTTTGGGCTGTTCCTGACGGCGACGCTGATCCTGTTTGCGATGTTCCTCCCCAAGGTACGCCAACTTGTCAACATTGGCGTCGAGGGCATCTACTTCGAGGACGACAGAGAGACCTACTACGCTGGGTCGGTCATTATGTCACCGCCTAGCTACAAAAGCAAAGCCAACTCGGTACTCTACGTGAACAACTCAGGCATCTATTCGGAACCAGTAGTTGTCGGCAATGGTGACCCCAGTAAGTATGCCATACTGACGCTGAATGTAGTGGTAAAAATACGGCTCTTCCTTAAACAAACTGCAGCCTGCGTTAAATATAGTCATTGAGTCATACTGGTAGTTTGAAAGCCCTAAAGGAACAGGTGCCCTTAATACGTGGCTATCTGAAATTCCCTTTTTGCATACGTCATCAGTACATCTAAATTGAACATAGCTTGCAAAACAAAGACTGTATTTGAGTAAACAAACTGTATATGGACAGACAGCTGGATGACCGCCTTAACTAGGGCTACGGGTATGTGACTGTGTAACAAAGTCGAAGATCGGAACCGCATGCACAAATCGATCTTAACTGAGTTAACTTTTGTAAAACGAGAGGCCAAATATGTTTTTTTTAAGAATTTTCTTTTAAATCCCGGACAAACACAGTTTATTGGTATATGTGGCCAAAAGGTCAATTGTACAACATGTATACAATAATAGTGAACATGACTGTAACCTTCACATTGAACATTTACTGGAGGAGGACGATTATTTCATCTTAGTTCATGACCCCCGTGGTCTATTTGTAATAGTTTTCTGATAAGTCTATTGGATTTGTGAGTAATTGATTAGAAACTACATGTACATGCATTTCTGTTTATTTAAATAATTATTTATGTCGTATTTGGTCTAGTTTAATTTTAAAAATAAATATTGAGGAAAGGCCATATTCAGCCAGTACCAATTTGATCGCAGATTTGTTACATGTGTTAAACGAAAACATACTGCGTATACTTTTTCTATTGTTATTATTTATGTCCCAAAGTTCCTCACCACACATTCTGGCAAATTGTTCATTGACATGTAGGGCTCTTTCGGTTTGCATAGAAAATATCTCACAAGCTCTAGAGAATGTATTTCAGCATGACCACCCACAAGGCACACCCTAGAGAAGTCAGCCCGTGTGTCCCGGTGTGACAATCTACCTGATATAAACAAGTTGGAATTTGTCATGTTTGACTGTGCTGTAGAAATTGAGAGGTATTGTAAAATCATCTTATCTAAAAATCTTGTATCTTCTTTTTTCCCCAGTGGCAACCCATCTAAAGCATCCGGGTCACCATTCTGGGCCCTATAGTACATATAGTGCACCTGCTGGATACACGAAGAAGAGCGAGGCCGGAAGTAAAGTGCTTCGTGTAACTCCGGACCTAACCGGAAAACACCCGACTGAGAGGCGAAGGCCTCAGTCTGAGTTTGCCTACGCGCCCCGGTCTGTTAAAGGAACATTAAAACGTAAGCTCGCGTTGGAAAGGATCTTAGCTTTACTAAAAATATGTGTGATGAAACAACTAAAAGTGTGTATTATTCTCAACTAAAATTTATATTTAGTTGAAGTGTTTCAAGTGAACTAAGGAGTGTAATATGCTCTCTGTGGCTGTTTGTGTTTTGTTTTTTCATGTATTGTCATTAGTCTTTTGACCGCCTCCGTGGTCTAGTGGTAGAGCGTCCGCCCGGAAATCGGAAGGTCCGGGGTCCGTCATACCAAAAGACGTTAAAAGATGGTACTTGTTGTTACCCTGTCTGGCGCTCGGCATAAAGGGGCTAAAACAAGGACTGGTCGGCTCGGAGTCAGTATACTGTGTCTGAGTGGGGTATTCATGTTAAACTGCGGCATGGTATCTCAGTGAGCTAGCACTATTAATAGGCATCAGTCCGGACTAGTACAAGCAGCCACACACACACACGTGCATGCACGTCGCTATATAAGTGCAATAATCTTCGACGCGACGTTAAACCCCATTTCACCTCACCTCACATTAGTCTTTTATTGTCTTATCTGAACCATTTGGAATAACCCAAGATGTCTTGAATACGGGTATATTCTCAGTTCAATACCTTTTGAGGGGCTTTATCGCATCGGCTCTAATTTCAGCCCCCGTCACTTTCTATGGCAAAATTACGTCCCCTGGGCGTAACAGGATTGGCTGATCGCAACGATTATGATCTTTGGTATACCCAGTAATCTGACACGCTGTGGTATCACTGAAATACTATTTACATCTTATTGAAATAAGATCTTTTACTGAGATACGATATATCTCCAGACAATTATGGCATCGGAGTAGAAAATCTGATCATAATGAGATTGATCAAAACACACGGCATACAATGTTATATGGATATTACAAATATATTTTTTCTCTTTCAGGAATTGGGTCAACCCAAAATCTTGGCGCTCTTTGAGGGGGTATTGAAACATCTTGAACATCGCCAGTGTTGGGCAGTGCTGGAAACAATCTGAGCAGGAGATTGTTCCAAATATGTATTTTGTAAAGAAAACATCTATGAAACGTGATTGATGTAGTAAATTAATAAGAAGTATTTACCATCATATCTTCACACACTGAGATACCGACATCTCATTCTGCTCCATCCCCTGCGGTCCAGGGAAGACTTTAAGTTTATCAACCATGAACCAGCTACAGACGGCCGTGCTTGTAGGAGCTCGCGTTGACGTGCTGTACATCGTTTTGAAATGATATTGCTCGTTGTACATAAATATCTATATACGCTTCGAGGCTGCATTCAGAATATACACATCGACGTCGGTTTGAGTCTCTCGAATTGATATACTAGTAATTTGGAGAACAACTTGGTGTCTGATCAACTCTAACAATTATATTTTAAAAATATTACTTTTCTTTTTAATGTATGTATATTTGTAAAGCTAAATTTCATTTCGCTGTTGAAATACAGACTGTCTCAAATTTTAATGAGTAAACCGCATGGTATGTCTTCCCTCAAGTCAAGGTTTGCATTGGTAGCCATTCGTGTCAGTTCACAGGACAGCCGAGCTGTGTCGAATGTGCGTCAGTTTCACCGTCTCAGAAGACTGCGTGAATGATGATATGCTATTTGTTTCTAAGTGAGTGGTTTGTAAAAATACCAGAATTAATAATATGTATGTAGTTTGACCCGCACGTCGATAAAAAAAACGCATATTGAGACATGTTAAAAAATAGGGTTTCACCTGACTTAGTGTTAGTGACTTTATTTAGCTACGATGAAAATGACATATCACATTGATCTACGATAAATAATTTAATACGTTTCCGTAAAAATGGTCATGTTCTTCTGTTGAACATTTCTCCCTCTCCCACAAATGAGGAGCAGCCGTCGTTCTGTGATACCGCTGTTCGCGCGATGAGCAGGAAAAGATAAAAATCAAAATGTATCATTGCACCATTGCACATTAACTGGTCTTGGCTGCACATGATAACCGAGATAACAAAACAGCTGCCTCGCGTGTGCACCGATCGTGCAGTGTTTACATCTCGAGTAGGACCATATAGCGTTGATTCCACGTATCAAACCTGTGTTATATAAATATATGTACGGAAACAAGAGATAGAAGTCCGTTATTGTATATCTACACGTACTTCGCCTATATGTTATATATATGTATACATGTATGTGTATAAAGTTTTACATTTATTTTTTCCTCGTGTGTCAGTGTTCCTTTGTGTTACGATGAATATATCAGCATCATGATGATGGAGATTTAATGTGCGCTTCCGGAGGTGCCGATTTCGCACTCGTGGCATACCTAGAAACATATGAAGGAATGTTTTAAAAATGTTACTTTGCAAATATATGCCGCCATTCGTAAGCGCATTAGTCACTTGTATGGGTAGTATTAAGGGCGTATGGTCACATTGATCAACAAAATGAAATACAGTTTTCGAGATAATAAGGAAATGTAGGTATCTTTGTGGTTAGCATCGGTAATGGTGACGAAGTTTTGATAAGTCATTTGCTTGGTAATTTTGCGATTTTCGTTTACACTATTTTTACTTGCAACACAAAGTAAATATTTCACCTGAGCATTGCTTTTTGATAGTGTGTATATTTTTTACTGTCAAAATGTGTAACATTTTCAAATTTATTAAACGCCTAAATATTCAGTTATTTAACAAAGTGACTGAAAAACATTTCCATCCGTATTATAATGATAACGAATTCCAAACATTTTGATTTTTAATGTCATCACCAAGAGACTGAAAATGTTACGTTGAAAAGTACATTTCTATGTTGTTTGTCTTCTAATCCTACATGGTAATCTGTTGTGATGTTTGTAGGCCCTTTGGATCGCCTTAATCAATCTGGACAGATTTTTTAGTCAAAATGACTGAAATATTTACACATTTTATAAATTGCCTGAGAGAATTACATTTTACAAATTGACGGTAATATATACATGCTTACAAGGGAAAAGGCCTGTGAAAACAACGTCTATCGCGCATTGAAGAATTTCCCAACCAAGTCTAGTTTTAGACCTGTCCGTTTTTGTGGTATCTTCTGACTTTGTGTTGATTTTTTTCTATTTGTTTAAGGTGTTTTGCTATCGTTGAATTTTGGTATTTAGGTGTCAATTTAGCCCTGAGTTTGCTTAGATTGATTGACTTCGGCCCTACTGTGGCCGAGGTCTGAGTTTACTGTGTTTAAGTTGGCCCCTGATTTGGCAGCTTTTTCATTTCCGAATTTTCCGATGTGGGCTAGGACCCAAGCTAGGTGGACCACCCTGCCCTCTTTTTGGATTGTTTGAATCTTACCGAGTGAGTGAGTGAGTGAGTGAGTGAGTGAGTGAGATGGGGTTAACGCCGCTTTTAACAGTATTCCAGTCATATCATGGCGTGTCAGCTTAATGTGGGAGGAAAGCCCCAAGTGATGCAGGTCTTAGACGTTTACCACTTTGGTGAAACCCACGAGCACTGGTATGGTGCTGACAAACCTAGAAACATATTCGGGGCGAACCGGGATTCGAACCCACAATCATAGGTTTCTGGCGTGCCCAAGGGACGCAACTCTGCACAGTGAATTGCGGCGCCTTAGACGACTGGGCCACCCGTGCTACCGAATCTTACCGAGAATTTTACCTATGAGTTTACCTCTGTTGTCAGTACATTTATTTGGGAGTGTCGGTAAGCTACCTAATGAATCGGTGGGTATTACTGTCTTGGGTTGTTTGTTAGAATATTGTACAGTACCGTGTAGATGGCCATCAACGCCACAGTGAAGATTGATTGGCCATAGGGGAGCCTCTACACCTTGTTTGTAGTTTTAGGGTTTAGGGAGTGGAGTTTCAAAGCCTTCTTGACCACTAGTTTGATTTTTTACCCATCCATGTAGATTTGGTGCTGGTCCCCCATGTATTGGAGGTAGATGGCCTGGTTTAAGCTGGAAGTCCATCTTTGCTAGAGTAGTAAAATGGATACCCCACTCAGACACAGTATACTGGCTCCGATCCAATCAGTTTGACATGGATACCCCACTCAGACACAGTATACTGTCTCCGATCCAATCAGTTTGACATGGATACCCCACTCAGACACAGTATACTAGCTCTGAGCAGATCAGTTTAAAATGGATACCCCACTCAGACACAGTATACTGTCTTCGATCCGATCAGTTTAAAATGGATACCCCACTCAGACACAGTATCCTAGCTCTGAGCCGATCAGTTTAAAATGTATACCCCACTCAGACACAGTATACTGTCTCCGATCCGATCAGTTTGACATGGATACCCCACTCAGACACAGTATACTGTGTCTGAGCTGATCAGTTTAAAATGGATACCCCACTCAGACACAGTATACTGTCTCAGATCCGATCAGTTTGACATGGATACCCCACTAAGACACAGTATACTAGCTTTGAGCCGATCAGTTTAAAATGGATACCCCACTCAGACACAGTATCCTAGCTCTGAGCCGATCAGTTTAAAATGGATACCCCACTCAGACACAGTATACTGTCTCCGATCCGATCAGTTTGACATGGATACCCCACTCAGAGCTAGTATACTGTGTCTGAGCTGATCAGTTTAAAATGGATACCCCACTCAGACACAGTATTCTGTCTCCGATCCGATCAGTTTGACAAGGATACCCCACTCAGACACAGTATACTAGCTCTGAGCCGATCAGTTTAAAATGGATACCCCACTCAGACACAGTGTACTAGCTCTGAGCAGATCAGTTTGAAATGGATACCCTACTCAGACACAGTATGCTGTCTCCGATCCGATCAGTTTGAAATGGATACCCTACTGACACAGTATACTGTCTCCGAGCCGACCAGTGTACACAGTATACTGTATGAGTGAAAAAGACAGAGAGTCTCAGACTATAAGCCTGTGAGTAGGTGAATGAGTTGTGTTTACGCCTTTTTGAAAAGTTTTTCAATTATCAGCTTGATTGTTAGGTGAATTGCAGGTCTCAGATGTTTACCACTTTGGTGAAATCCCACGAGTAAGTATTTTAAGATTCACCTGGGATTCGAACCCATGATCGTAGGGTTCCGCAAATTTATCAGCCCTTGAAATTGCCACGACATTGCAGTTGCACCTCTACATATGGTGTTGTTATACAACCAGTACATTCAATGGGGAACTGGGAAAATACAAAACTAGATCTCTTTTAAATGAATATCTAGGATATTCAAAATGAATACTAACAATTTGTATCCTATCTTAAATTATGGAGGTCTAGTGAACCAAAAATGACTCTTACCATATTTAGTCATTTTAGGAATCCATGCAGGCATGTTTGTTGTCTTACCGCAGGCAGTTGCCAACTACTTTATGGGGGTAGGCAGGTGGTAGAGGCTTGGGAGTCCACGACGGCTTCACCGATGTCAGAATCCTGTATATAAAGGAGGGTCATAAAACCTCAGTGTGCTGACAAACCGTATTGGTATTTACGGGTCTCCAAAAAATCGACTGCATAGTTAAATGCTTCCAGGAGCTCAAAGCCATGTTTCTGGTTGATGTCTCCACATGTGAAGGGTGTGGCGCCTTTTTGGTGGACATCAAATAAACCTAGGAAGAAAATGGTAGGAATAAATGTCCTGCTGTTCAACAAATATCATGGTTTTTTTCAAACAGAATCATCTTTCTTTGATAATTTTAAGTTTTTTAATTTACTATAGTGGTGTAACGATACAGCGATACAGTATTGTATCGTGATACGAGGCCCATGATACAAGACATCCATTTACGACCCCTGTATTGCGACACATATGATACATTTCATTACAAGTTATTTTGGTGTAAAAACATGTGAATAATACCAGGAAATGTTCAACTACCAGCTTGTGCAGATTCTCTAGTATTACCCAGTTATACACTGAAATGTCCCTCCCCTGGTGGTATCCAGGTTAGAGTATGTCCAACATACGTGCTTGTCAGAAGAGGAGACTTAATGGATTCATAATAGGCTGGGAAACAATGATCACAGCCACCAACATCTCACTGACCACTTGTAAATCAAGTCTGGAGCAGGCAAACCTGAGGTTGACAGCAAGAGCCCATTGTAAATCTCCCCCACTCTCTCCACAAGGGCATAACATGTCCAGCACTCAACATGAGCACAAATAACAGGAAATAATCATATTGTAAAATAGTAATATTTATTTCAAATCTGGTATATCTGCAACAATGTATATAATATGAATAACATATGCCCTGACTCCCATAGTTAGCATCACTGCAGCAAGAACTACCCATGCACGACAGGTTGACATACTACTACAGGGTAGTCACGACAGATACTGCAGTGTTACAGGCGAAGCAAGATCACTGATGCAATGCATTCACATTCATCTCCAAAGTAAACAACAAACAGAATATCATAACAAATATATTATTTATGTATTTTTAATATCTATGTTTAGGCCAACACCTATTTTTGTTAAATCCTGCATTGGTGGCCATTTTAACATCTATTTTTTATGTCTTCAAACTTGAGTAGGTCTGTGAAGTGAACAGAGAAAAATGAAAAACATATATCAAAATGTACGGTACTTATCGGTACAAATAACACTTGGTATAATTGTATTTCTAATTGTAATGGATTTCTGTACATTTAATGATCATCATATTCTCTGACATCCTTGGTGCTCCAGGGTATTATACAGCCATTCTATTCTGATAACTACCCTGGACCAAATAACCACCAAAGCTTCGTTTTGGAAGTTTCATCAGCATGTCCATCTCTCTTATCACTAACTTAGCACCAATTGTCACTTGCTCCTGTCTGCGATTTGCATAGATGGCTATAGTTACTATCATGTCATTCAAATTTAGCTAATCTTTTCAAATTTACCTATAAACAAAGCAATGGTGACTGTCCAGTGTATTTATGATAATAGAATGGACACACAATACCCTGGATAACCGAGGATAATGGCACCATATTAACCAGCCTTGAAAAACAATAGATTTGTCTAACATTGTGATATTATATGTTACATAAGTATATATGTAGGTAAAGAGGTTAATATCAATATTATTTTCTAATACTGCTGTCCCTTGAATGTTGAACAAACTGGGACTAGTATGAAGCAAGCAAGTTGGCTTTGGAGATCATCACAGGAAAGTGTAGACTAAGTGTTACAGTGGAGATCAATCTCATTAAAATCGGATCTTAGTTCTCGCTATCGCTAAACAATCATCTGAGGACATCCCACTATGGGTCACATCAGACGGATCTTGCGCGAATTTTGATCGACCAATGGAAGGACTGACAAGAAGTTGACATTAGCCAATCAGAAGGCAGCTTTCTCATGCTTTAATTTCAAATTTGCCACTACGCTACAGAACATATTTTGACAAATTCTCGATTAAAAATTTGAAACCTGAACAAAAGAACATTCTGGAATGGCAAATATATGGTCTAGATTGTATGTATTCAGTCGTTAAACCCGTAACTTTCGTTCGGAAAACCCTGTGTAAAAGTTTTCGAGATTGCATGATTAGAAATCACATTCCGACTGTCACTTTCATGATCTGATAAGCGACGCTCTGATTGGTCGTATGAAAGGTTGTTCTGACATGACCCCTAATGGGATGTCCTCAGATCTTTGTTTAGCGGTAGCGAGAACTAAGATCTGATTTTAATGAGATTGAGTGTAAATCAAATCAATACATTCATAAATCAGAATACGAAGAATATATCAATACAATGTGTCTCTTAACAGTGCATCAATACTGTGCAGATCTCCAGGAGATTGGGTCATTGACAAGTGACTCTCACTGTCTCCCTCTTGGCAGGTCAACTGTCGTCCTCTATGACACTATGCTGACATTATGTATACACTGCAGCAAACCGTGGACATTAAACTGGAGTTCATCAAGATCAATAAACACAAACTTTCGCTGAAAGATCTCTGATATATCATTATCATATATCATTAATATGCTGTCGTCTCAAACATATCATTAATACGCTGTTGTCTAAAACATATCATTAATACGCTGTTGTCTAAAACATATCATTAATACGCTGTTGTCTAAAACATATTATTATTAAAATGACATAAATCTGTATGACAAGTAAGGAAAGGAGTAAAACAATGTACAGTGTTCTAACCATTCTATAACCACACAGATACACGCCACAGATACAAGGGTTAATGACCAATACAGGAATAACCAATAAAATACCAAACAAACTACATCATTTAACAAACAAGAGTAAAATACTTTGGCCTAGTACTTTGAGCTGTCATGATGGAAGCACCAATACTAGATCTACAAGAATAAACAATTTAGCTGATATGACAAAGTTTGTGGAGAAGTCAATTCTGAGAAAATGTACTTAATGAACTTGTCATTGAAAAACAAAGGCAACAATTGATTAAAAAGATTAGAACAATCTTAATACACTAAAACAAAGAAATAATTTATATCACAGCCTACCATTGGTTCCAGGAGACTTTGATTTTAGCAGATTAAGTAAAACATCAGTGGTAAAAACATTAAAAGTTAATGCTAAAAAACATTTTGATTTCTATAATCATTTTGATAAGGCAATCATGTAAGTTTGGTAAAAGCTGAGATATATCATACACCTATGCTTAAGAACTAACAAATGTAAATTATCTTACATGAAACTTAACAGCTATATCTTGCAAATATAGCTAAGACACAACATCAATATCACACATCAATAGTGATTAGACATGACATATATGCATACAGGTAATATTAGCATAGTAAATAATAGATCTACTGGGCAACCTATTCACTAAAAGTTAATTTCACTTCATCTGCATAATTATCCGTTTGTGGATCAAGTCAAAAGTTTTTAGCCGAAACAAAACAGGATAGAAGTGTTGACCATTGACAGGTGAACCGTGTAGTTGGTTCTGTGGTCACACATCTGACACAGAGAACACTCCCACCTGTGACAGGGGAGACATTAAACATGCATTCACCAGGAGAAAAGATTCAGTCAGGGAGGAATTCCTGTGGTTTAGGCTCCTTCAATTTGTTTATCGCCAACGGACAACATGTGAAAACAAGTTACAGAATAAGGTCACAGGTTAAGGAATGTATTATCAACATAATACAATATCAGGAGAGAAAAGTATTACCACATCTCATAAATAATCTGTGGAAATTAAAAAGGCTACATACGCAAACATGAAGGAAATCTTTACTGCTTCATTTGATATCAATACTTTTCATCAATAAAACAAGACAAAGACTGAAATGTAACTATATGTGTTGCAAAACTGAGAAACAAAACAAGCAGGCCCTGTTTGGCATGGAAGTGGGATGTGATGTCACACAAAGGTTTCAGTTTACTCCCACATATGCATGTGCAGATCCAAGGGGATGGGGGTTACCACCCCTTTCATTTGGAGACACCTTTTGCATTGACGTCCCCCTCAGCCAAGTCACTAAGTCACTTTGTGACTTGGGTCCGCCTGGTATGTGTTCCCTTTCTTCAGTCCATGAGTAGAGTGTCTGTGTCACACCATCACTCCAGGGCTTATCAACGACAGAGCTATAAGACTTAAACGATACATGATATTAAACTGGAAAACCAACAATCCACTTTTTGGCATCCAAGAAACCTGAACAACACAGATGCAGTTGCTATGTATGTATGTGCATCAAGTGAGCAGTTTGACATGTTGGAATGTCAGTTAGGCCATTTCAAGTCATCATTTTGACACAAACTCATTGCAACATGAGTTCATAAAACATTTAAAAACAGTACATAATGAGTTACCCAGACGGATAATTTCAACTGGGTCAATGTAAGTCCAAAGTCTTAACAACCCTCCTATGTTTGATACTCCCAACTTATCCTGATCACTCCCACAAAGAGACTGACCAGTGTTTCCGTGACTGCCCCTGGTTCCACCCCGCTGTATCACTGCTTCACTACTCGACTTGCGGCCCGTAACAAACTTTGGTGTTTCACAACTACTTCACCCATCTAGTTCTACAAGTCATATTTCATTTAGAATATGGTTCCTTATAAAAATGTGATGGCCCCAAAATTATTTCCATAAGAAAAATTAAAATAGGAGCACTCCCAAGGAAATAATTCATATTTTGAGGTCTGATTCAATCCTATAAATATCCTCCAGGAGTGATAACGGTTAGTTCTTGACTTGAGTCAGGTGATGTTTCTACCCAAGATAAATTGAATGAGGTTTGTAAATAACCTCCTGCCTCAGAACACTGAAGCCAAGACTTGTCCATGCCACGGGAAGTCATAATAATTTGTATATACTTAATACATTACACACAAGCCCAACAATGGTAAGAAACAGCAGTACTTACAACTGTTTATATACAGGTAATACCTTAGATCTCTGTTTTCACTTAGGTGATATCTAAAAAACTTTCCTAGTTCTTTATGTAGTTCAATTACAGGGAGATGATGACCACAACAAGATGGTTGAGTTGGGGTAAACACCAGTGTCTCCATCCTATCATGCTGTGTCAGCTTCATAATGGAGGACAGCAATGTGCTGACAGACCAAGAATCATAACTGAGGCTAACTTGCACCCGAGCCAACTATCAGTAGATTCCTCCATGTGGTAAATCTGCACAGCATGTTGAAGCGCCTCATATCACCGCCCGGACCAATGAATCACAAACAACTCACACACAATGCCAACCAATGTCTCCTGAAAACACACTGATCAGTCTGTTCTGTAGCTCTGTACTCAGCTATATTCCAGCTATATAAAGGCAACCAGTAAATAATTAAGTCTGGACCAGACAATCCAATGATCGATATTGTGATCACCAATCCACACCAGGAGTCCCCGAGGCTGACCACCCAGGCCATTCAGTCACCTGACAACAAGCATAGGTTGCTGGGGACTGCCCCCAACCCAGAATCCCTATGGGGAACTCACTGATCCACCCAGAATAATGTTTCATTGAAAGGTTCTTTGTGAATAACCTCACACCGACCATATCCCACTTAATGCCCAAATTTGGCTAAGATATAAAAAGGAAATAAACTTTGTCTGCGTCGAACAAGACACAACTCCCTCGCACAGGGACAGCAGTGAGAACACTGGTACAGTTTGGGCATATTCTCATCTGAGTGAGGTACCGGAATTATTTCCAAGTCACATCACAACCACTTCACCAGTAGCAGCTTCTCAACGAGGAACGCTAGTAAGACTGCAAGAAAGCAGCAGACGGAATTTGAAGATGTAGAGGAAGTTACATGTTTTTCTAACGGAGTACAGCCCAAGTGTGACACATAACATACCTGGGATAGGTGAACAATAGTGAAACCCTGTTCGGCACAGAAATCCCTCGTCTTTATATAAGTAAGGGACATGACCATGTACCCATGAATTCGGATGTCCTCACTTGGAATGGTGCCATTCCTGTAGTAATCCATGTCATTTTGAGTGCTTTAACTGTTCAGACATGTCAGATGCTAGAATAATCTTTACAAGCGGCCTTGCGAACTCAAGTGTTCTTGGTCTAGTGGCTATTTCCCTTCTTGTTCTGACTTGGACTCAGCTTACAAGATATGATGGCGCCTTGCTTGAGTATCTCAGACTAATTTGGGTGAACTACACATACTGATAATGAAGATTGCACTCCTCAAAAGATAAAATGATTTCAGATTTGTAATATTCGTAACAATGTCATAATGCCAAAAATATATTTCTCCTCTTATCACAGTCTGGTGATTATGCACAGGTCATGTGACTAGTACAAGTCACATGACTGTCAGCACCAATTAGAAGGACTCTTCTCTAGTTAGATGTTGGATATGTTGAGGTGTGTTGAACAGGGCTATCAGTATGATGGCCGTAGAAGCAGCACTTAGGGGCTAATCTGCAAGAAGTCAATAATAACAATTTCATCTTATCCTGACTCATACTTATTGCTTATCTCTCTCTCTCGAATAGTAGTGGAAACGTCTGTTCTGGGTTCCCGGAGAACAGAGAAAACATCTCACACCAACGCACCCAGTATATATATACACGCAGGCGCATCAGAACCACATGACTGAGACCAGTAACTCGTCACTCTCTTTTACTCTACTAAATGGTCCGAAAACACATCAGTGGAGAGAGGCGGGGCTGGTTGGGTGCTCATGCGGATGAGATAGGATAAGTATAAATAATATCTTTACTAAAAACAATACATATTTTATCTTATCCTGACTCCTACTTATTGCTTGAATCTCACTGAGCTGGTGGGATCCACCTGTAATATGTGACTGACGTCGATCTGTTCTATAAAGCCCATGGGGACGTTGGTTGATTCTGTGATGTTTTTCTTTTTAGCGACATCTGCGTAGTTGTGAATTCTTTTTTTATGTTCTCATAAACGAAGTCATCCGTTCAAAACTAACCTTTTTCAACAAATGTTTGTGCTTGGATTAGTTTCTTCAACATTCTATACATCATATCTAATGATTATTTTTTAAATTTGGCATACATATTTGTTTTAATTTGGACTTAAATTTTGCCCCTATATGAATGATGAAAACATGTTACAAATGTAATTTACGTGTTTCAGATTCGGATGTGCGCCTGATTGCATCACATTATACTGCACTGCGTAGAATAGGTACACTTTCTGTGCCATAGCAGGGGGAATTTGACAAATATATCAGCATGCCCTTAACATCCATGGAGGCAACTTCAGTGAAGAAATGACGGGAATCTACACCTTGTCCTTTGACTGAAGAAGGGAGAGATTTTGATTTGGAAAATATCCCGTCGATGACATTTCAGTCACTTCCTAGTCTACCAGTGAGAAGTCCACAGGGTCTAAAAACAAGATAAGCATACTGCAACCTTCAGTAAGGTGATCAAACTACAAGAATTAGCTAAGAAGAAGAATATATCTTCCTCTACAGCTAAGCAGTCCTCTCCGGTAAGAGAGCATGTTTATGTAGAGGTTATAACCTCTACAAAACCTCTGCCATCATCATCGAACGTGAAGAAATCTACTAGATCTACTACTACTTTGTCTAAGGGTCAAAAGAACAGCCCACTCCGGTGCAGCTGCAGACCTTCACGGACGCCCCCATTGTCCAGGCTGTAAACACATGATACAAGTATTATGCAACCGCATACCTTCACGCAGATACCGTCCTTCGCGCAGCCCACGTACAACAGTCAACATTCACACAATACAGCGTTCACACACCCGGCAGCTTTCACGAAGCCTCCTTTAGCTAATGTTACGCAGCAGGTATTAATTGCCACTCAACAGCAGATGTTCAACAAATCTTGCGCACAGTCAACGACGATGGCACACAATAGCTCGCAGAATTCTCAGTCTTCATCTACAGCTACAAACCCAAATGCCTCCTATCTTCTGGCAAGAGGAGGAAGTGTTCGAACCACCACAAATGGAGGATTCATCTTAGCATAATTATCCTCAATACATGAGGATCATGAAGTAATGGCGTGGATTACGGAGAGATGCCGATATCATCACCGATTGGGATTCCTCTCCCATTCACACTTTCTGCATCAAGGGTGACGACATAGACACACTAACCACTTCCCCGATAAAACCTATTTCGACATTGCTGAGAGCCTTAATATCTCATTCACTACAGCAACGAGATCATAAGGTTTCTTGACACACACTTTCAACCAGAGAAAGTTTCCATGCATGCCATACCCCACTTTCTCCGAGCACCCGAGATTGACGAAGATTATTCACTCATGTCAGACTCCAATAGTAGGTCTTATCATATTGAAGATAGAAAGACCGCAAAACGACTGTGAAAGAATGCTACTTTCGGTTTTTATCAGTCCAAAGAAAAACCAGGAGTTTATCTTTGATCACATGAGTTCGGTATGAGCAGGGCTTACATTGCTTCGAGGTTAAGGCCTCATAGCCAATTCTAATTGGTCAGACCCGTACACCAAAGAATTACTACGTCCACCCTGGGAATCAACAACTATTTTCAATGGTCATATTCGAAACATTAAGAAAGTGATGCAAGATTCCAAAGATCAAATCTTCATTAGATCAGTACAGAATATGAGTTTAATGTATTGATAATCTTTACAAAGACCTCAATTCAAAAGTCGTTTCTCAGGTATCCAAAGCAAAGGAGAAACTTAAATACAGCCACAGGGGAGCTAAAAATAGCTCTTTTCGCAAGCCACATGACTACGGTCGCGGATCCAGGGGAGCGCACAAAAGATGAAGAACCGCTCGCCATGAGGTTTGACACAAATGAGACAATTTGGAGTAATCACCAATCTCAAGCCAATCACGTCGAAACAGAAAAGGTCAACAACAGTTTTTAATATTGTTGTTTTAATGCCACACTCAACAATAGTCCAGTGGACAAGTAGGCATGTGCTATCGGGTACCCAAATTCCGGAATCATGGTTCTGACTTAGGGAAACCAAACCCTGCTATGGTGATTGCAGTATATTACCAGTTGGGCTTATTTGTACAGGGAGGATCAGTCAGTTATTAGAAATCTACATGTATAAATCCAATTGCTACTGCCCCGGATGTCCCAGATACTGCAGGGAACTGACTGCAAATACACTGTTATGCTTCAGAACTCTACACATGACTTTGTCACACTGAATGATCAGTGTTTGGAGCATTGTACCTAGTCCCTGACCAGAATGCAGTATTCTATATGTCAGCACAGGGTGATTTGCATATCACGCATCAAGATTACACTGCCTGTAAACAAGCCCAACTATCGCTGATCGCTTTAGCTCCAGAATTACTTACAGCAAGGTCTACTAACATCTACTCCAGCGCTGACTGTTCAAGGGTGACTACACTTACGTCCATTACAGAGTTTTCTAACTCCGTACCTAGAGTACCGGGATTTAAAACTTTGTCTGCCATACAAATTGAGGAAACACTTCTTTTGTTGGGAAGTAAAATCGACTGTCTGCACAGGAACTTATTTAAAGGAGTAGGATTACAACAATCACATTTACATCGACGCCTCACTTCAAGGTTTAGGAGCACACCTCAACTCGGAAGTAACATAACATCCTTCCACATCAATTATCTGGAATACGAGGCAGTAATCCGAGAAACATCCCACTGGGAAACAAATTTTTGATGATCAGAACAGACAATTCAACTATGGCCTTCAACATTATCTTCAAGGCGCAACAAAGTCAAAACCCTTCTAAAGTTGACCTTTCAACTTTACGAACTGCTAGACAGCCTAAATCTAACAATAAAGGCAAGATGCATACTAAGAGTTGCAAATGTCTTAGCAGACGCCCTATCCAGACCAGCCAAACCATCACCAACAGAATGAAAGCTCCACCGGAAGCATTTCAATGGGTAATAAAAGAGAAAAGTTGGCCATTAATAGACCTATTTGCAACCAGATTCAACAATCAGATAACAACGTTTGTGTCACCAGTGCCAGACCCACTAGCCTGGTCAGTCGATGTTCTGGCAATATCATGTGAGGGCCTCAACGCATACGCGTTTCCCCCATCAGCCTTGATACCACAGGTACTGGTATTACAAAGATTCGACACACAAGCAATCTACAACTGCTTTTTAGCGCCTTACTGGCCTGTGAGAACTGAGGCTCCAGATCTTGTCGAGCCAGCAAGAAACCCGATACTAAAACTTCTGAACTGGCCAAACCTCCTATTACATCCTCACTCAAACCAAGTTCATCCAAGACCAGAACTTTTCATGCTCCACGTATGGTACATATTAGCATGGCCTCATTAAACGAGGTTATTCCATCAGAGCAGCTAAGGCAGTCTCCTCAGTTTGCAAGATGTAAAGGGTTTTTCAGCAGCCAAAGCTACTCTCCCTGAAGAAGCAGACTACCTGTGTCATTTAAGGAACACAAGAAATCTTAAAGACTTTACATAAGGCTGATGTCAATTCTGTTATTCATCAATTCAATTCACAACCACTTGTCAATGCACAGCAACTCACGAGGCCTACAAAGCAAGATAAGCAGGATACTGACTCATGGAAGTCAGGTTACTTCCATAACCAATGACTGAGAGTCCATGCTCCCGTTTTACTACATAAAACACTGGCCTTATGTAAATGAGTGATAATTGTGTTGAAGATTATTGATGTTCTCTTAACACTAGAATCATTTAAGGCAAAGCATGATCTTACAATTCTTTGCAAACCTTACGAAATCCACAAAATCTAAACTTCCATTTTTGCTGCTCACAAAAAAGGAAGGTGGTACCCCAAAAGAAGGATTAAGAAGAAAAACATCATAGAATCAACCAACAGCTCCATGGGGTTTATAGAACAGATCGACATCAATCATACATACAGGTGGATACCACCACCTCATTGAGATTCAAGCAATAAGTAAGAGTCAGGATAGGATAAAATATGTATTTCTTTTAGTAAAGATATTATTTAGAGCACCCACACAGCCTCGCCTCTCTCCACTGATGTGTTTTCGGACCATTTAGTAGAGTAAAAGAGAGAGTGACGAGTTACTGGTCTCAGTCATGTGGTACCGGGTCGCCTGTGCGTATACTGGTGCATTGGTGTGAGATGTTTTCTCTGTTCTCCGGGAACACGGAACAGGACGTTTCCATTACTATTCGGCAGAGAGAGATAAGCAATAAATATGAGTCAGGATAAGTATAAATAATATTTTTACTCAAAAAATACAAAGAGAAATTACTACACGAGTGTCTGTCAAAAACCATTTATCTTACGAGTTGTTTCAAAACGCATCTCATGAGTGAAAGCGAGTTAGATACGTTTTGAAACAAGTTGTAAGATAAATGGTATCTGACAAGTGCAGTAATCTGTTTCTTACACACCCAAAAAACGTACATCATCCGACGTACTGCTTACTATTAATAAATAATGTGACCCTACACCTAAACCTAAAAACGTTTCCACCATCTGTTGATTACAAAGGCGATGATGATAGTGCAAACTAGATGAGATCAAAGAACCCGCATGATGCCGAGTTAAAAAGTTTCACCTCAAAGAAAATACCAAATATGTACAACAATATTTACTACCGTATGACATGACTGCCAGTGACAGACTTTTACAAAATGGCGTGTTCACTGACAACAGTATGCAGGATTTTCAGAGGAGGATTTTCGTTAATTGAGGGATCGTATGTACATAAATGTGTCATGTATGTAATCAGAAACAACCAGACAATCTGCATACTGTCATTTTTTCAAATGTTTTCCAATGTAACCAAGAGAATTTGTCAGAAATGCAGATAACTACTGTTGTCGTTGTGCATGAACTTGCGTCAGTCATTGTGAGTGAATTTGCGCTAGTCATGGCGACACACATGACGGAAACATTTACGATTTCTGTTGAATTTACCTGATCATTGTAATGTATATATTTTTAATTCCATAATTCATGCTACGATACTCTTCCCATGAATATTCTCAACCGCATCAGCCAATGTATGCAACAATTAGACGAATTGATCTTTTAAGATAGGAGAGTGAAACATCTGAGTTTTGCTTTGTTTACATTTCAACAAGTACAGTTTTCCGAGCACAGTGTTCGTTTCCACACCTAATTTATTTCGCTTGATTTCATCTAGATAATTTGCATTGGTGAAAAAGACCATTTGTCATTTGATTCTTAAATGCATGAGGAATTCAGGGATGAGTGTATCGCAGCTGAATTTATAATGTACGTGATCGAATAGGAGTCTCGAATGTTTCTTAAGGGTCCGAAAACTCATAACATGGGGATATATCTATATGTTGCTGTGGCATCCTGGGGGGGATTAACACTCTGAAACCATATCGTTCAACACAGATGTAGGATGACATTCAACTGAAGCACGAGCAACTTATCAATGAACTACTATCAGGAAAGTAGTCCATCAAAATCTGACCTCAGGTCATCACCATAGAGTGGCCAATCACTGGCCTTGAATTTGATCTCACACATATATTTGACACCAGGTATTTCAAATGGGTTTCTCACCCACAGTGTGTAAGAATATTAAATATTATGTTACCGCCTGTGTATTTATTAATGAAATAAAAGATGTTCAACTCACCATGAATTCATTGGTAATGCCCTGTAGAGAGTAGTTCTTGGTCAGGTAGCACAGGACATATTGCCCCGCAGCCACACGCAGTTTACTGGCAGGGAACTCCATGATGACCCCGCGGTCACCACGTTCCTCTGCCCCCTCCTCCGCGTAGATGTAGCTCACATACTCACTGAAGCTCTTGAAGTCTGCCTGGAACCCCATTAACAACATACTTAATACATTGTCAACACCACACGCTTAACATCTCCCGGACACCACACACTGTACGCCTTGTTTACACCAAATAATTAACACCTTGTTAATACCAAGACCATAACACCTTGTTAAACCTCTTATGACCAAGTGCTTAACACCTTATTAACACCAAGTGCTTAACACCTTACACCAAGTGCTTAACACCTCCCTAACACAAAGTGCTTAACACCTTACTAACACCAAGTGCTTAACACTCTCCCTAAAACGAAGAGCTTCACACCTTATTAACTCCAAGTGCTAAACACCTCCCTAATACCAAGTGCTTAACACCTTATAAACACCAAGTGCTTAACATCGTACTGACACCAAGAGCGTAACAACTCCCTAAAACCAAGCGCTTAACAACTCCCTCAAACCAAGAGCTTCACACCTCCCATTTACCAAGTGCTTAACACCTTATTAACACCAAGTGCTGAACACCTCCCTAACTCTAAGTGCTTAACACCTCCCTAACACCAAGTGCTTAACACCTTCCTAATACCAAGAGCTTAACATCTCCCTAATAACAAGCACTTAACACCTTATTAACACCAAGTGCTTAAATATTCCCTAACACCAAGTGCTAAACACCTCCCTGACACCCAAGTGCTTAACACCTGCCTTACACCAAGTGCTTAACACCTGCCTAACACCAAGTGAGTGCTTAACACCTCCCTAACACCAAGTGCTTAACTTCTCCCTAACACCAAGTGCTGAACACCTCCCTAACACCAAGTGTTTAACAGCTCCCTAACACCAAGTGCTTAAAACCTCCCTAACTCTAAGTGCTTAACACCTCCATAACACCAAGTGCTTAACACCTCCCTAATACCAAGAGCTTAACATCTCCCTAATAACAAGCACTTAACACCTTATTAACACCAAGTGCTTAACACCTCCCTAACACCCAATTGCTTAACACCTGCCTAACACCAAGTGCTTAACACCTCACTAACACCAAGTGCTTAACACCTGCCTAACACCAAGTGTTTAACACCTCCCTAACACCAAGTGCTGAACACCTCCCTAGCACCAACTGCTTAACTTCTCCCTAACACCAAGTGCTTAACTTCTCCCTAACAACAAGTGCTTAACACCTCACTAACACCAAGTGCTTAACACCTCCCTAACACCAAGTGCTGAACACCTCCCTAACACCAAGTGTTTAACAGCTCCCTAACACCAAGTGCTTAACACCTCCCTAACTCTAAGTGCTTAACACCTCCCTAATACCAAGTGCTTAACACCTCCCTAACACCAAGTGCTGAACACCTCCCTAACACCAAGTGCTTAACACCTCCCTAATACCAAGAGCTTAACATCTCCATAATAGTAGTAGTGGTTTATTTCAGTAAATCAGGCCACAGGCCCATTTTACAATATATATATTCAAGCATTCAAACATGTTGCGCCACAAGCGCATGTAGTAATATCAATAATAATCAGTACAAGGGTATCTGAGACCATATACATATGGTTGTAGAATTAGTAGTTTATATAATGGACAACTGCTTGCTCCTCATTTTAAGAGCAAAGAATGTAAACTTGGCAAGATTATTGATTGTGAAAGCATTACTGGTGGTAAATAAAACTTTACATTTATGCTCTGATGGAGATGTATAATAATAACTTGGCAGAAAGTTTCTTCTAAGATCGTCATAAAACGGACAAACTAAACAAACATGGTATTCTGTTTCTACACTTGGAATGATACAAAATGGACAAAGTCTTTCACACTTTGGAATACCTAACTTTCTACCCTGTGATACCATAAGATCACTGCTCGACGTGCGAAACTGTGAGAGAATAATCCTAAATGCAGCAATATTCACAACACTTAAATAATTTTCATAATCATTTGATAGCTTAATTGTTTTATACAAATATAATGAAGATAATTTGTCAAAAGATTCAAAGAGACACTGGTTTTCAATATCAATACATCTTGTTCTAAAAGCGGATATAAATGACTGAATACAAGAAACTGATTGTCTATTCCAAATTTCACCATATCCAAAGGAAAATAACAGATTTTTAACTTTCAGTGCCCAGCAATCTAGACCCTTTTCTGCCCGGTCAAACTGGTACACATACGTGTGATATAATATACTGTTTTCGTTCTGAGTTAATAAACGCAGCCAGTGCTTAATAATTTTCAGATGTTGGTTTACTTTTAACAAGTATCTCCCAAGTTCAGCTCTTGCTACAATATTTGGAACAGTTCTTCTCAGTTTCAAAATAAGCTTGCAGAATTTATCATGAACATTTACAATATCTTTAGAGGGATGAAATCCACTTAGCTCAGAGCCATATAATAATATGGGCAGTACTTTAACATCAAAAATACGAAGTAACATTTTCAGGGGAAGTTTGTGAAAATTGTACATATGTGATTGTAACAATAATATTACCTTCCAAGCTTGTTGGGATAATATCTTTTGAGTTTTATACCAGGAACCCGAGCTAGAAAAATGTACTCCAAGATATTTATAACTGGGGACTATCTCAAGAGGGCTGCCATTAAGAAAAAACTTTTCATAGCTTTTAAGCCTACCTGCCTTACGAAAAATAATGATTTTACTCTTGGTAGAATTAACTCTTAATTGCCACTTATTGCAATAATCCACCAACTTATCTAAACGTTTTTGTAACCCGAGAACAGTGCTATCAAATAGGATAATGTCATCTGCAAATAAGAGTATGAAGAGATCCAGCAAGTCTAAATTAACACAGTATTGCTTATCCACACTCAAAAACTGTACTATATCATTTACAAAAAATGAAAATAGGAAAGGTGACAACTGGCAACCTTGTCGTACACCAAAAGGACAGTCAAAGAAGGGAGTACATCTATTGTTAACCAAAACACATGACTTCACATTTTGATACATATTATTCAAAAGTCTAAACATTTTCCCCTTTACATTACCAATCCACAATTTATAAAATAAAGATGGTCTATGAACAGAGTCGAAGGCTGCTTTCAAATCTATGAAAGCACAATAAAGTCTACCTTTATATAATGATAAGTATTTCTGTATGATAGTAGCAATTACAAAAACATTATCTACCGTTTGAAAACCTTTTCTAAACCCTGACTGTTCAGGAATAATAAAATTTTGATTTTCAGCCCATTTAGAAAGTCTAGTGCACAGAATTTTAGAAAAGATTTTACCCGAGACTTCGAGTAAAGTGATTGGTCTGAAGTTTCCTGGATTATTACACAGCCCTTTTTTATGGATAGGAATAATGACACCAACTGTCCACTGAGTAGGATAAACACCAGTTGACAAAATCATATTATACAGCTCTTTCAGCATATCTAGACACTGCACGGGAGCATTCTTAAAAAATTCTATTGGGAAGCCACTGTACCCCGGGGCTTTTCCACAGTGCATACTGGAGATTGCATCCTGTATATCAGACATAGTAATGTCATAGTCAAGTTCATTATCAATATCAGTAGTTGCATCAATGAGATTGTCAGTTATACCTGAAATGAAATCATTTACATGAACATAAAAATCAAGTGAGTTTGGATCATGGTTTGTTCCACTAAACAGTTCTTTAAAATGTTCAATCCACACAAGTGGTGTAATGTTTATAACATCTCCCTAATAACAAGCACTTAACACCTTATTAACACCAAATGCTTAACACCTCCCTAACACCCAATTGCTTAACACCTGCCTAACACCAAGTGCTTAACACCTGCCTAACACCAAGTGCTTAACACCTGCCTAACACCCAATTGCTTAACACCTGCCTAACACCAAGTGCTTAACACCTGCCTAACACCAAGTGTTTAACACCTCCCTAACACCATGTGATGAACACCTCCCTAACACCATGTGATGAACACCTACCTAACACCAAGTGATGAACACCTCCCTAACACCATGTGATGAACACCTCCCTAACACCAAGTGTTTAACACCTCCCTAACACCATGTGATGAACACCTACCTAACACCAAGTGTTTAACATCTCCCTAACATCAAGTGATGAACACCTCCCCAACACCAAGTGCTTAACTCCTCCCTAACACCAACTACTAGGCCATATGCAAAAAGGGTCTTGTATAAATCCCCATCCTAACCTCAAATAATCAAAAAAATAGTAAAGGATTTCGATAACTAAGATAGTTAAATATGTCGATAGCTTAGTAAAGGATGCAGAAAGTTAAAACACTGCTTATAATAACCAACGTTAACAGTGTCGATAGCAAAGATACATAAGGGTGTTAATAACAAAGACAGTAAGGATGGCAATAGCTGAGGTGAGGTGAAATGGGGAAAACATCATCACATTCAAGATTATTTCACTCATATAGCGATGTGCATTCACATGTGTGTGTGGCTGATTGTACTAGTCTGGTTTCATAGTGCTAGCCCACTGAGAAACCATGTCCCAATTTAACATGGCTACCCTACTTGACACATTATACAGACTCTGAGCAGACCAGACCTTGTTTTATCTCCTTAATGCTGAGTTCCAGGCAGGGTACCATCTTCTAACATCTATTGGTATGTGGTGAGGTAAGGTAAGGAGAAATGGGGTTTTAAAGTTGCATTCCAGATTACTGCACCTCTGCACTGTGTGGGTGTGTGTGTGAGACAAATTCACTGATATACCATGTCACAGTTTGACAAGAATACCCAACTTATACACAGTATAGCAACTCTGAGCCAGCAAGTCCTTGTTTTATTCCATTAATGCCAAGCACCAGACAGGGTAGCAACAAAAAATAATCCACTCTTATCCATGCCTTTTCAAACCTATGTGCAATGTTGAAAGTTGCCTTCCACCAACCTTGTACAGGCCAATCCAGTCGGTAGAGAAGGACTTGGCCTTCATGGTGTAGGTGACAGTACTGCCCTGGGATATGTACCACTTGATGATCATCTGAAACTTGACAGGAGACGGGGGCGGCTTGCCAAACACCTGTATGTACAGATCATTACTGAATATATCCATCAGTGACACAATATACATGTATATCCATTAGTGAGACAATATACCTGTATATCCATCGGTGAGACAATAAAACTGTATATCCATCAGTGACATAATATACATGTATATCCATCAATGAGACAATATACCTGTATATTCATCAGTGAGACAATAAAGCTGTATATCCATCAGTGACATAATATACATGTATATCCATCAGTGAGACAATATACCTGTATATCCATCAGTGAGACAGTAGAGCTGTATATCCATCAGTGAGACAGTAGAGCTGTATATCAATCAGAGACAATTTACCTGTATATCCATCAGTGAGACAATATAGCTGTATATCCATCAGTGAGACAATACAGCTGTATATCCATCAGTGAGACAGTAGAGCTGTATATCAATCAGAGACAATTTACCTGTATATCCATCAGTGACACACTATACATGTATATCAATCAGAGACAATTTACCTGTATATCCATCAGTGACACACTATACATGTATATCCATTAGTGAGACAATACAGCTGTATATCCATCAGTGAGACAATACAGCTGTATATCCATCAGTGAGACAATATACCTGTATATCCATCAGTGAGACAATATAGCTGTATATCCATCAGTGAGACAATACAGCTGTATATCCATCAGTGAGACAATACAGCTGTATATCCATCAGTGAGACAATATAGCTGTATATCCATCAGTGAGACAATACAGCTGTATATCCATCAGTGAGACAATATACCTGTATATTCATCAGTGAGACAATACAGCTGTATATCCATCAGTGAGACAATATAGCTGTATATCCATCAGTGAGACAATATAGCTGTATATTCATCAGTGAGACAATATAGCTGTATATCCATCAGTGAGACAATACAGCTGTATATCCATCAGTATAACAGTAGAGCTGTATATCCATCAGTGAGACAATATAGCTGTATATTCATCAGTGAGACAATATAGCTGTTTATCCATCAGTGAGACAATACAGCTGTATATCCATCAGTGAGACAGTAGAGCTGTATATCAATCAGTGAGACAATTTACCTGTATATCCATCAGTGACACAATATAGCTGTATATACCCATTAGTGAGACAATATACCTGTATATCCATCAGTGACACAATATACATGTATATCCATTAGTGAGACAATATACCTGTATATCCATTAGTGAGACAATATACCTGTATATCCATCAGTGAGACAATTTACCTGTATATCCATCAGTGACACAATATAGCTGTACATCCATCAGTGTGTGGTAACCAACTGTATGTCCACCTGTGACATGACCTACCTGTATGTCCACCTGTGTGATGACCTACCTGTATGTCCACCTGTGTGATGACCTACCTGTGTGATGACCTACCTGTATGTCCACCTGTGTGATGACCTACCTGTATGTCCACCTGTGTGATGACCTACCTGTATGTCCACCTGTGTGATGACCTACCTGTATGTCCAACTGTGTGATGACCTACCTGTATGTCCACCTGTGTGATGACCTACCTGTATGTCCACCTGTGTGATGACCTACCTGTATGTCCACCTGTGTGATGACCTACCTGTATCTCCAACTGTGTGATAGCCTACCTGTATGTCCACCTGTGTGATGACCTACCTGTATGTCCATCTATGACGTGACAGGCTTGTGGTCACTGGTCTTGCACTGAGGATGACTCCTGTATGTCCACCTGAGTGGTGACCTACCTGTATGTCCACCTGTAACGTGACTTACCTGTATGTCCACCTGTGACGTGACAGGCTTGTGGTCACTGATCTTGTACTGAGGGTGACTCCTGTAGTCCAGCTGCTTGACTTCGAGGCTGACAGTTCCATAACTCTCATGGTGGGCGTGCCACAGGATGCGATCACACCAAGCAGGGACACGCTTCTTCTTACTGGTCATATGACAGACATGAGTACACATTACTACATTGGTGAAGCCCACAAGCATGGCCGTGGTGCAGACAAACCAAGAATAATAATCAAGACAAACCTAGGATTCAAACCCAGGATTACAGGATACTGTCACACCTGAGGCACAGGAATCTCCCAACCAACTGTGACCCACCATTAACAAACTGCAACTAGGCAGGAATGTGTCTTGTACACAAGTATTCTGATCATGAACAATAATGAAGTGTTACCAATATTTGTCACTACTTACCTGTACATCTATGACATGTATCTGCAGCCATTCTTAAGTTGTTGAACATTAGTATTTTCCACACTCAACACCATCAATATATTTCCGAGTCAACAAATTCTAGCTTATTCCATGTGCTGAACGTGACTACAAGGACTGGATGAAAATTCTCAGACAATTCTGATGATAATGTCATAGTGCAAAGATGAGTATATGGAGCCATGGAGGTAACAACGCACACGGTCAGTGAAAGAATCATGTGCCTGCTTCACCTGGTATCATACGTGTCTGTCCCTTTGTCAAACTTGTATGTTGGGGGGAATGTAATCCTGCCTTCTTCAAAGTCTTCATAGATCAGTCTCTCTTCCTTACACTGTATCAGCTGAAGGTAAAATATCGGTTTCTGTTAGTCCACTTTTAGTTTCATTGATCTTTCAAGTTACAAATAGAAACACAACTGAATATGACATATCAAAATATAGCAATACTTTTACTACATCTTGTTTTTACAGATTTATTGTTTACAAATCTGATATAAAAAGGAACAAACAAAACATGAAGTGTTTGGAAAGTAGGAGTTTAGCTTTGGACACTAGTTCAATAATGTAAAGATCTAGGTAGAGGACAGGTCTTCAGCAACCCGTGCTTGTCGTAACATAAGACTAGTTCAATAATGTAAAGATCTAGGTAGAAGACAGGTCTTCAGCAACCCGTGCTTGTCGTAACATAAGACTAGTTCAATAATGTAAAGATCTGGGTAGAGGACAGGTCTTCAGCAACCTGTGCTTGTCGTAACATAAGACTAGTTCAACAATGTGAAGATCTGGGTAGAGGAAAGGTCTTCAGCAACCTGTGCTTGCCGTAACATGACACTAGTTTCATAATGTAAATATCTGGGTAGAGGACAGGTCTTCAGCAACCCGTGCTTGCCGTAACATGACACTAGTTCAACAATGTAAAGATCTAGGTAGAGAACAGGTCTTCAGCAACCCGTGCTTGCCGTAGCATAAGACTAGTTCGATAATGTAAAGATCTAGGTAGAGGACAGGTCTTCAGCAACCCGTGCTTGCCGTAGCATAAGACTAGTTCAATAATGTAAAGATCTAGGTAGAGGACAGGTCTTCAGCAACCCGTGCTTGCCGTAACATAAGACTAGTTCAATAAGTGAAGATCTGGGTAGAGGACAGGCGGCCTATTCACGAAGCTGTCTTAGCGCTAAGATTGGCGTAAATATGTCATAGCGAAAAACGTCTTAGTTAAGTCTATTCTCGAAGCTGTCTTAGCGCTAAGCTATCTTAAGTTTAAGACAAAAATTATGACAGGGTCTGACCTGTCGTAAACCTGTCTTAGGCATGCATCATGGCGTCCTACCTATTGCTCGGGCTTCTCGATAGAGAAAAGCAATCAACCCTAACACCTTCTAGGAAGAAAATATTCCGTGACAGGACGAGTCAGCTGGACACGCTAGATGACGCGCAGCTTATATCCAGATATAGGCTAAATCGGCATGCCATCATGCAAATTATTGCGAGTGCGAATGCATGTTTTGGTAACTCTACGATACTTGGCAAAAGGTGGTTTTCAGTCTGAAATCGGGGACCTGCACGGTGTCAGTCAACCTAGTGAATCGAGGGTGATACACAAAACCATAAATCTACTGTGTAAACATCTGAATTTGATACACTTTCCAAACGATGCCACAACCCGTCAAAACACAAAAGAAAGATTTTATGACATAGCTGGGTTCCCCAATGTAATAGGATGCATCGATAGCACGCTGATCGCCATTATTAGACCACCGCATGACGAGGAGGTCGCTTACGTGTGCCGTAAGGGTTACCATGCCATCAATATTCAAGCAATATGTGATGCTGATCTCCGGTAATTGTACACGGTTTTATAATAGCAATGAAATTGTATATTGAATGAGAAAGATACATACTGCCAATTCATGCATCGCCACGATCACATTAAATGTACCGCCTCGCATAGTTGACCTTGACCATGACCCATTGCGCCCCCCTGTCAATAAACCCAGCCAATGACATCGAAGGGGCACAATAAAGGTTTAAGGAAGGGTTTCCTATAAGGTTAATTAATTATAATATTAACAGTCTGTGATGATCATACACACATTGTTCTGTCAATAGAATGAAATGTGAAAGAAATATGTTTTTGTAATGAAATAAGTATCAAATCCATGACTTAAATGTAAAAGTACTCACTGTCAATGTCAGTAAATGTACACAAATTAATTAATTGCTTCCTGAAATAATTGGTGACAATTTAAAATTATTACTTAAAGTAGTATAAAATTATTGGATTTCTTTTCAATTTAACTTACCATGTGTGATTGCGGGATTAAACATATCAACATTTGTTTAAAAATTAATTTAAGTGAATATTTGAAAAGATGGAAGGAATGAAAATGATATGTTTGTTTGGTTTATTTGGAAAAAAAAGAAAACAACAATTGTATGGTTTGAAGCAGTAACACCACCATCTCTCCCAATATAACACTTAGAAAATGGTTGACCCATTCTAAGAAATCATTAATAGAGATAATGAAAATATATTTCCACTATTTCAGTTTCACCAACATTGTCTGTAGATGGCCAGGGGCAACTCATGATGCATTCATGCTGTCCAACAGTACAATTGGTACCAAATTAGAGCAGAATCCTGTGGATGGATGGTTGCTTGGTGACTCTGGGTATAACAACATTCTCATGTGAAAAATAACATCAACATAGTAGTTTTGATTGTAATTTGGAAGTTTATTTTTGCAGAATACCTTTTAATATAGGAATATGTCACAGTTTGGAAATGCTCAGATAAATTGACAGTTTTCAAATAAATTAATTAATAATGATGACATTAATGTTGCAGTGAAGGAAAATAAAAAACCCATCGATCACAGTCACATATTCTGCAAACACTTCTAACCAACATTTATGTATACTTTACTAAATAGGTATGCCTGTCGACCATGGCTCCTCACGCCTCTTTCAAACCCACAAACACCACCAGAGGAAAAATATAACCGTGCCCACTGCAGAACCAGAAACACCGTTGAGAGGGCTTTCGGGGTGTTGAAGTCTAGATTCCGGTATGTATAGCAATAATTACTTAGGACAAAACAATGTAGATTTTGAAGTTTTTATTTTAAATAACATAAAATTATTTCTTTTAAATGTATAACATTATTCATGTTTTATGGAGTCTATAAGTAAGAAAAAATCCATACATGATTGATATATGAACTGAATTGCCACAAGATAACTTTTGCAATCTCTTGCTGTGGATATATAAGATATGAAAATGTGTATAAATGTTACAACAAGATAACATCTTCATATATTTGAGCATAAGTTTATTCAAATATTATTCCAACAAAATTTTATTGTACTATTGTGACTTACAGTTGTCTGGGGAAAACTACAGGGTGTTTGATGTTTACCAGCAAGAGATGCCACCAAGTAGTGTATGCTGCAGCCCAGCTGCACAATATGTGCCTTGACATGAACATACCACTGCCACCTTCCCAGGCTGATGAAGTTGCCAGTGATGACACAGTATATCATGGACCTATTTGTGATGGGTTTCAAACTAGGCGTGGTGTAATCCGCCAATTGTTCTCAAGACAGTGAACAATACTGAACATGTGGAAAAAAAAAAAATTCTGACATGAACTGAAATGTTTCTTCTAGATAGTGAGTGAGTGTGTGTGTATTTATGCCGCTTTTCGCAATATTCCAGCAAGATCACAGCTGGGGACACCAGCAATGGGCTTCACACTTTGAACCCATGTGGGGATTCGAACCCGGGTGTTTGGCGTGATGAGCAAACTCTTTAACCACAATGCTACCCCACTGGCCCTCTCCTGAAATAGACTTAGCAGAGACAAATATTACATATATATTTAAATAGTACAACAAAGCGGAAATATTAATTAATGATGAAATGATATAAGAGGAGACAGGCACTGAACATTTTTTTCTGCTTGTTTCAGCAACAATTTTTCTTCATTTATTTTTAAATTTCTTTCATTTATAGCAAGATTTCTTTCCTCAATATTGAGACGCTGCAATTCTACTGTCAGCAACTGCTGCAGGATCTGCACTTTCCTTTCTTCCAAAGCCATCAATTTGTCACCTGTGGTTGGAATTTGTCCTGAAAATATGAGTAGTATATTGAAACATGAATAAAGGTAATGAACGCTTTTTTCAATAATCAAAGTACACAATATGTATATGTGAAAGATTTTGGAGATTTTTTTTTTTTTCTCACCTAATAACATTTTTTATAATATTAAGTGAACTGACAAAAGTGACATTTATATAAGAAGTTGTGAGAGGAGTTGAAAATCTTTTAGACAACAAATCGACATGTTTTATTTACTTAGTATTTTTTCACTGGTCTTACATGTTATAAATCTTTGTGTGAATGGTCAGACCTGTGATATAGTTGAATTATCATGACAAGTTGTGTCAGATCAATCATATTTTAATACCTTCCACAGCTAGTACGGTCTGAACAACTGCTGCTTTCTGTTGTGACTCCAGCTGTGGTGGTGATGGTTGTATAACAAACACTGACTGCTCGTCAGGCAGACAGGCATTTGTCAAGTCTTCAGGAACAACTGAAAGAAAATTAATAATCAGAATGTATAAGTTTTCATGCAACTGACATATTTATGTGTGACATTGACTACATGGAGTACATGTTACAATTGTTTCAATGACATAATGTCGAATTATTTGTAAGTGAAATCTTTATCACTGGTCATTTATAATTAAAAAAGAATTAATGTTGATATTTTTTTCTGTGTTATGAATTCAGATATCTTTAACTTACATTCATTGACATCACTCTCCAATCCTCCCTCACAACCATCAATTTGACAGGAGGGAATCAGTGATACAATCTGTAAATAAATTTTAATGAAGATTGTAAATTTCAAAGATTTATAACACATAACAATGAAAGATTAAAAATGTTTTATGTAGTAACCCTGTTCATGATAGATGTGAAAAAATGTATCAAATGTGAAAACAATTCATACAAGTGATTACAATATATGCTGTGAATGTGTCATTTAGCATGGCTGATTACATAGAAGTTATAGTAATCTTTCATATGCCAATGTAATCATATTTACCCGCTCTTCAACTTCATTAAGTGGTTGAGGTGGTGGTCCTCCTCCTGTTGCACAAATCTCTCTTTTTAGTGAGGCAGCCTTCCTTCTTGCTTGGCTTCTGAATACCAGATTATATCACAGTTTGAATTTGCAAGAAAGGAAATTGGATTAGTCTCAATGTTTAATAAAAGTTTTTCATCATCTCTTGATACTCTTAGTATTTTATATGTTTTCATATAGTAAGCAAATTTGTCTAAACACAGGCAATTCAAAATTAGTTATTGACAGGTTCATATCAGCCAGAAATATGTCAGGTTTTTTTAATACATTAATTGATGGTGCTAAAAAAAACCTTGAATATTTATATATATTATGTTAACAGTACTGGGTTCATTTTGTTTTATCAGATATGGCCAATGCACTTACTTAATGTCAGTCCATTTCTTCTTGATGTCCTTCTCATCGCGTTTGACCAAGCTGTTGGCACAGATTCTATTAAAAAAATCACATAATGTCACCAAATAAGATCAAAACTTTGTTTCAATACTTAATTACTACACATTGTACAGATTGATACATTTGTACTACATATACATAATGTATGACGTTATATATTGGATAATTATTACTTGCATAAAAAAAATATTTACACAATTGTTATCATAAGGCAGAGAGAGAAGAATTACTTGACAAAATGTTTGTACATTTCTCTTTTATTTCTCAGCTCATGTTAGCATGGGTAATATAAATCCTAAACAAATTATTACAAAAAATACGATAAGGCATAATGTTTGGCTCGATAATGATACGTGTCCCCGAAATGCATCTAGATGTAACAATGTAAACACCCGACTCATGGGAGGAATCAGGTTTTCCCCCGACTATAAATAGTCACTGTCGCCTGACAAATAACAAAGGAAAAAAGATCGTGCATGGACCTATACTGAGTTTGAGATTTACTCTACATGCGATCACATATATATGACACACTTAACAGTGGTAGCTTAAGTATTCTTGGTTAACGCACAGTGAGTTAGGGTTGCTCAGTAGTTACTTACTTCTGAGCGATGTCGGTCCATATCTTCTTCTTTTGCACATTTGTCACGGTGTTGCAAAACGCCGAAAATAAAATGTGATGATTTTTCTCCACTTCTTGAATTAATATGTCCACTTCAATAGGCATCCAGTTTACTTTCCTGATGCGTTTATTTTTCGGAGGTGAGTCCATGGCGCACAGATGACAGGTATCGTCTGCCCGTCAATGTAGGTCAAGGGAATTCCCTTATGACGTCACGGGAAAACACCCGACTCTTTCTATCTCCGACAGAAAAGAGCTCCCTGTCTTAGCCGCGACAGCTGTCGTAGCTGGGACACGGCTACGATAGGTTTAAGACAGCTTCAAGAATAGCTCTTATGGCAGTCGTAATTTTTATCGTAAGTAGCTAAGATTTGTCTTAGCTAAGACAGCTTCGTGAATAGGCCGCCAGGTCTTCAGCAACCCATGCTTGTCGTAACATAAGACTAGTTCAATAATGTGAATATCTAGGTAGAGAACAGGTCTTCAGCAACCCGTGCTTGCAGTAACATAAGACTAGTTCAATAATGTTAAGATCTAGGTAGAGGACAGGTCTTCAGCAACCCGTGCTTGCCCTAACATAAGACTAGTTCAATAATGTAAAGATCTTGGTAGAGGACAGGTCTTCAGCAACCCATGCTTGTCGTAACATAAGACTAGTTCAATAATGTGAATATCTAGGTAGAGAACAGGTCTTCAGCAACCCATGCTTGTCGTAACATAAGACTAGTTCAATAATGTGAATATCTAGGTAGAGAACAGGTCTTCAGCAACCCATGCTTGTCGTAACATAAGACTAGTTCAATAATGTGAATATCTAGGTAGAGAACAGGTCTTCAGCAACCCGTGCTTGCCGTAACATGACACTAGTTCAATAATGTAAAGATCTAGGTAGAGGACAGGTCTTCAGCAACCCGTGCTTGTCGTAAGATGAGACTATGCCTGTCAACTAACGGGATCGGGTGGTCAGGCTAGCAGACTTGGTTGATGCATGGCATCATTTCCTAATTGCGTAGATTGATGCTTATGATGTCAATCACTGGACTTAAGGCCCAGACTCAATTATTTACAGACAGTCATAATGGAATATTGCTGAGTGCGGCGTTAAATAAACAAACAAACTTTTAGTTCAAATGTCAACACAAAATCCACTGACAATGCTGCCAAAAGAATAATTGAGGCTTGTTGACTCAAACAAGGTACCTGGTCATATGTGAGCAGTTTAGTTAGATTTCCTTTCTCAATGTGACGTATGGCTCCTTCATAGGTCAAGTCTTCAAGACGGAAATTGAGGTCTCCCATCCAGAAAACATAGCTACAAGAAGAGAAGTATGGTACTGTAAGCATGGTAAGGGAGTTTTGAACAGTACTTCAGTTACATCATACTGTGTCAGCTTGACGCAGAAGGAAAAGGAAGTAGGCTGTAGAAAGTAACAACTTTGGCAAAATCCACGATTATATTGACACACAAAGAAACATAAGCAAGGCAAACCAGGGATGGGAACCCAGGGATCTGCAGATTCTTGAATAACTAAGGGACGCAACTGCGGCACCTGAACATGCTTAAAACACTGAGTCACCAGTGCCCCGAAATACATCACTTACTCGTGGTCTAGAATATTGTCCACATCTTCATCCTTGAACTTCTGACTATCCAAGATGCTGTCAAAATCCTGGAAGACAGTATTGAACACCCTTTTGTATAATGCATCAAACTACACCTACATACAGAGTGTATACTCCTGTGGTAAAGGAGCAAATGTTACATATTTCATGCAGAAACAAACTGATGTCATAGCATACTTATTGCAGATTTTGCTAAACATGTAGTTTTTCAAGGTCGAAAATAAAAACTTGAAAGATAGGAGTGTTGCTAAACTATTCGGAATATTGTTTGGATTGCTCTGTGGAGAGCAAAGAAAAAAATCAGTTTAAATTGTAGAATGTTTACAATGTTTACAATAACATGTTTCTGGACAGATAAGACTTACCCAATGATTACAATGGCCATGGAAGTCTTAGGATTAGATATTACTTCAAGGTAACAGTAAAAGTTCAATGTGTTTTAATTATCTGTACATTACAGGGCATAACACTGGCACCTATCAACCTTTTGGCTTTAACATGTAAATCTATTACTGCATGTGTCGGTGTTGCCATGGAAACTCACAATAATTCTCTCCTGTATGTTTTCCCTGTGAGCAGCAAGGTGAGCATTAACAATGATGAGATTCATCCCGAACAAGTCCAGCCGTACGCTGGCCCCGCCCTTGTTGCCCTAAAACATCATGAGATAAACTATCCAGAAACTTTCAACATCCAAAGTGTACAGGCTGAACCACCGCAACTTTCCTGTGCAAGTGAGTATGTTATGTCTTCATGTTATTTGTGACACTGTGGGGTGAGAAGAGGAACAGGTTTAATGTCTCTCCCACTTGCTGACATCTAACCATGCTACAGAGAATCATGTGGTCAGATTCGGTGATGTGGCTGATCGGTTGGCATCAGATCGGTGTGCATCAATGCAGCTGCAGTCACAGGTTTGTCTGGTCCAGATTTGATATTGTTAACAGACTACTGTCACAGTGCTGCAGCGGGTATATTGATGACAGCAGTCACAGGTTTGTCTGGTCCAGATTTGATATTGTTAACAGACTACTGTCACAGTGCTGCAGCTGGTATATTGCTGACTGCAGTCACAGGTTTGTCTGGTCCAGATTTGATATTGTAAACAGACTACTGTCACAGTCGTCCAGCTGGTATATTGCTGACTGCAGAACTAACTAACTCACTGGATGAAATAACAGAATTATATCCTGAGGTCTCAGAAACTGATGTACTCCCGTTATATATGTTTCAATAAAGTGATCAGGGTGAAAAGTAATTTCAGTTATGGCATATCTTGACATTAATGTACACCCACCTGGTGCCTCCCAAGACCACAGGGAAACTGTCCAGTGCTGACAGGCCAAGAATCAGGACCATCATGCACTGCACATTGACTTGCGACGTGGGTGGATGCGTGCATGCGTGCATGCGTGCATGCGTGCATGCGTGAGTAAGGTTTAAATTTGCCTATAGCAATATTTCAGCACTTCCATGGTAGTGATACCAGAAGTGGGTTTCACACATTGTAGCATGTGTGGGATCCCCCCTGGGCCTTCAGTGTGATGGGCAATTGCTTTAACCATTGGACAACCCCCCTGGACATTGTAGCCTTGAATCAGCTATCATGACAATGTAAACAGTCAGCCACCTACCCACCATCCCCCCAAGCCTGTTTTGGTGGCCTCGGCTTCAATGCTGGTGATATGAGACAGTAAGGCCCTCCGAGCAAAAACAATGGTCATCACGCCCCGCATCCGACGGCCTTTCAACTGAAATATCATAGATTATCATGCACAAGCAGATTCATTACCATCACAATGCAACATTAAATCTTGAAGAATTGTAGAATTTTCCTATTCGGAATATTCTATAAGTAATACGTTACCACTGTTATACCGAGGCTGTTGTCTCCCACAACTGCTGCTATAGCGAAATCTACCACAGAGATCTCAATTACCTCATGCAGCACGTGCGTAGCCACCTAGCTGCCATGTGACACCCTTCACTCGTCTCCTGCGAGAGCAAGTGCTCGGGGGACGGACGGGCGGGCAGCAGCCCAGTGGTAACGTATTACTTATAGAATATTCCGAATAGGAAAATTCTACAAATTACATTAAGTAATACGTTACCACTGTTATACCGAGGCTGACTACCACAGTAGGCGGTGGGGAGCACCTACAACCCGAATCCTGACTGCTAGCGCTCCTTCCGACCAGCGGAAGTAAACACCAAGGCGGAAGCACTTGATGCGCATGCACCTAGCTAGGCGTTACCCTATAGGAATACCAAAGCACTGTCAAGCGCATACCGTAAGGCTCAATCGTCATTGCCAAAACGATTGGTGACTCCAAACGGCCCCACTGGATAGGTATTTCATCGCCGCAGCGGATGAGAACACTGTATCCGCGTGAGCTTAATCTTAGATCAGGTTAAACAGTCGAAAAGAGGGAAATTAATTTCATTCAGACCGTATATCCCAGAGCAAGCCTACTTAAAGTATGCATTAGGCGCGTGACCTAATTCCAGTATTTGTAAGCATGCATCACAAGGTTGGGATACACGACAGACAATTAAAGACATAATTGTCAAAATACAAATAAGGACAAAGCACACAAAAAGCCGCCCTCACCTGTGGTGTGAGTGCTCTGGTTTGCGGGACCCCAACTCCTGTACCCACGGCAGTGGGAACATTGGAGTAGACCTAGATTGACCACCGTGCAAGGTCAGACGCCTGAGGAGTTCGGAATTGCGCTGGGCACACCCCTTAGGTGCCCGCTTGCGCCGCGATCCGCGGGCCAAGACGGTGCACACTCTCCACGACGGCATCAGCGACCTGTTTGAGGTAATGATTGGCAAAAACCGAGTCAGAACGCCAGTAACAACCTCGTAATATTCTGCGAACAGAGATATTCGAGTGTAGGGCAAATGTTGCCGCTAGCGCCCTGATCTCGTGCGGGTTTGACCCCGCTACCGGTAACCCCCGAGACCGGTACGCCAGATTGATGACAGAACGAAGCCACAACGCAATCGAGTTGCGAGGTATGTCAACCGTGCGATTAGGGTTACACGATATGAACAGACGGTCACGCCCTTGTCTACGTTCATTCGAAGCCTTAAGATAATACTTAAGGGCCCTAACCGGACACAGCGCTCTGTCCTCAGTATCAGCAGGATGTAAGATTTCTTTGAGTGATCTTACAGTGAATTCTCTCTCCGTTTGCCCGACTCTCTGATTCTTGGCGACGAAGTCCATGAGCAGGCCCAGGCGGACCGCTCCTTCGTCACCCCTATCGAATCGTACCTTGGCGACATCGAGTGCATGAATTTCGGATACACGTGCCGCCGTGGCAAAGGAGAGGAGAAATGCTGTTTTCCAAGTCACATGCCGGAACGAAGCACTATGCAAGGGTTCATACGGAGCTTCCGTAAGTGATTGCAACACTAGGGAAAGATCCCAGGCCGGTGCCCGAAGGCGGCCCTTCTTAAGATCGTGCTGTTTGAAACCCTTGATAATACCCCGTATCACCGGCTCTTTGGAGAGACTGGTACCCATAGCAACGTCCCGTACCGTAGCAACGGACGAGACATAGTTGGCAATGGAACCCCCGGAGAGTTTCCGGGTCTCTCGCAAGTGAGACATGAAACGAGCAATATCCTGCACAGATACCTTATCTGGCGAATGAATGTGATGTTTACAACACCACTTCGTGAAAATAACCCAACGTGCATTATACACCTTCTGGGTAGAATCACGATGCATACTAACGTATGCCCGAGACGCCCGGCGAGAAAAAACTTTACTCCTCAGACGCTCGGTGACAACATCCACGCGTGCAGATTGAACTGCCCTGCGTTTGGATGAAGCTGACGGGTGTGAGGGTGGATCAAGAGATCCGGTCTCACAGGCAGTGGAAGTGGCGACTGCGTGACCAGGGTCAGCAAGTCGGGGTACCACGATCTGTTCGGCCACATGTGCGCGATCAGTAACATTCGACAGCGAACTCCTCGGAGCCGGCTTAGAATGTGTGGTATCAACGCTGTCGGCGGGTAAGCATAAGCGACCAAGCCCGTCCAGTCTAACGCGAGAGCATCGTGATCGATGGCCCTCGGGACCGGGACTGGTGATACAAACAACGGGAGTTGATTGTTGAACCGCGTTGCGAACAGGTCGACCATCGGACGACCCAAACGTTCGCACAGCCACTGAAACACTACTGGGTTCAGCATCCACTCTGTGGGGCTCGGATCCTGAGGCCTCGATAGAGCATCGGCCAGTACGTTCCGCACACCTGGGATGTGACGGACGCGTATCTGGCACGGGACACTGTCCACCAGAGCGTAAAACTCGAACATGAGATCGAGTAGCGAGTAACTGTGGGTTCCCCCCAGTTTGTTCACATAGGACACTACCGTCGTGTTGTCGGTCGCCAGCATGAGCCGGGCGTCGACGAGACGATGCTTCCAGTGATTGACTGCGTTGATCACTGCCTTGAACTCGAGACAAGTGATGTGAAGACCTAGTTCGTCTAAGCACCACCCGAGCTCACCTCCCCCTTTAGATGGGCGCCCCAGCCCACTAGAGAGGCGTCTGTATACAGGGTCAACGTGGCCCGGTAGGGCCGCATAGAGACTCCTGATAAGACAATGTAAGGGACCGTCCACCACTCTAGATGCGGTCGGAGCCGATCCGGGAGGGCGACGGTCGCACTGTTCACCTCCGTTGCTAACAACTGGATTAAAAAACGTTGCAGCGGGCGGAGTTGGAGACGACCCCGTGCGGTGCAGTCCTGGGCTGATACAAGTAGCCCTAACAGCTGTTCCCAAAAGTGAACAGTCTGTTGCACCGCTAAGACTTTGGCAATCATCGCCTGAATTTTGTGCCACCGGTCTGGGGGGACAAAGAGGCGATGGGACACCGTGTTGAACCGACCTCCGATGAACAGCAAGTTCTGAGAAGGGGTTAACTCGCTCTTGGGGAGATTGATAATCCACCCAAAGTGCTCCAAGAGCCGACGTGCGAAATCGAGATGGCGTGACAGGGTGTCCGTCATTCGATTTGCTACTAGCGAGTCGTCCAGGTACGCGAAGTACCGGACACCCCTCCTGTGGAGGAACCCCACTATGGGGGTGGTTAACCGGGTGAACAGCCAGGGAGCGGACGTGTGAATCATTCTGAGTTCGGCACTGTCCTACTTGGGAACGAGAAATATCCTGGAGTAAAACCCCGGTGTTATTTCTGGTAGAGCTAACTCCCGTACTGCCCCTTCTCCACCAACCTGCCGATGGCATCGGCGAGGATGGGAAGATCGGTTTCCGAATCGAAACCTGCCAACGGGGCAACGGTGAGCGGCGGATTCGCTTTGAGATCAAGCCGATAGCCGTACCGAATCGTGTTGACCACCCACGGGTCGTCGAACACTTGTTCCCAATTCTCCCAGTAAGTCTGGAGTCTGGCTCCCACTGGGGAAGGAGAGGGGGCCCTGACAGGTTGCGACAGGCGCAACTGTCCAGGGCCAAGTGACTCGGGTTCGCCTAAGGGCCAACCGAAGTTGGCGCTGTCGGCATACGAACCCCTCCAATGAGAGTCACCTGGAGGGGCCCTTGCCGTCCGTCGACGACTTGGGCTTCCCCCAGTTCCCCGTCTTCCCGCGAAAGGGCAGCTGATTGCCCATACCGGAGCCCCCAGGGCGGGGCTACTTCCCAGAGGAAGAAGAACCCGACCCCTTAGACCTACCGGCCGCAGCAGCCTGGGGCGCGCTCCGGTTAGGAGCGGCACCCAGGCGCCTATGCAGGGACCCAACAAGAGCAAGTGTGTGCCGAGAGTCCTCGGCAACGTACTCCAGGGAAGCATTTAAACTGAGCAGGCAGTTGTAAATGCGCTGGTCACGGTCCGTGGGAGAACCTTCGACCAGACGGGCCGCTGCAGCCAAGTAAGTGTCTCCGTGAGACATGGAGTGCCGAGCGAGGGCGTCCAGCTGGTGCAAGGTAGCTTGCGTTACCGTAGCAGCCGGTGGGGCACGGACACCCAACCGCTCAACATGGGCCTCCGCGGTAGGACCAGCCTCGGGAAAGGCAAGGTCATGTACCGGGAATAAACCCTTTCTCCACGACGTCGGAGGCAACGGGAGACCCCGACCGGAGGCCGCCGCGAAGGCGTTCTCCAAGGAAGGCTTGAAACCGCGCAGCAAGGTTGATGCGGGGAAAGCCGTGTCGGAAGACTCATCGTATACCTCGGAGGAACCCACAGTCGTGGATTCCCCGCGGTACCGGCCGGGGCATGTCCTCAAAGAGGTCATAAACCATGGCCACGCGGTCCTAAACCGATAGCGGGAGCAACGGTTCGGGGGAAGGACCGGTGACCACGGGAGCCGCCGCCGTACCGGTGGACCCCGCGTCCGACCCCGCGGCCACCGAAGTGGCCGGGGACGGAACAGCCAGCGGCCTATCCTGAGATAAGGCCGCCAGCTTGGAGTCCACAAGGTATGCAAGTAATGCAGCGACGGAATCCCCGGACAGCACACGGGCCGCCAAGGGATCCGCCGCTTTACCGGTGGACCCCGCGTCCGACCCCGCGGCCACCGAAGAGGCCGGGGACGGAACAGCCAGCGGCCTATCTTGCGATAAGGCCGCCAGCTTGGAATCCACAAGTTTCGACAACAATGCGGCGACGGAATCCCCAGACAGCCCGAGGGCCGCAAGGGGATCCGCCGCAGCCGAGGAGGTGGTACCCGCACGGGGACCCCGACCGGACGAACCGGCCACCACAGGGGTGGAGACGGACTGTACGTACAGCCGGTACCGCTCAAAATCCGCAGGCCCCAGACCTTCGCACAGGATGCACCGGGTGTCCCCGCAAGGAACCCTGCACCGCGGGCAACGATCGTGGGGATCCCGGGACGACAAAAACTTTCTGCACACCCCATAACTCCGAGGAGCAGGGGTAGAGGGGGTGGATACTGGGGCCATATCCATGTCAGACATTGATTGTTTGCTATAAACAAAGAACAAAACATGGTTACAACGCACGCACCACAATGATTCACAAACGAACATTTTCACAAGAAAATAAACGAGCAATATGAACATATAACATACACATATAACTTTTATTAAAGAAATAAGTTATGTTAACCCCCAAAACATACAAGAACAGGGGAAACGTAAAACACAACGTGCATACGCGAACCCCGCAAGTATATAGAAAAAAGGGCGGGAAAAATTTTCCGTTTGGCGGGAAAATTATAACCAAGCGTAGCTACCGCAACGACCCATAAAAGCACAGTTTATTAGAGAATAAACTATAATAAATATCACCAAATCTTCAAGGAACGCTTCAGCAGGAGAAAACACGTCTTGCTAAGCAGACGAAGGAGACAAGAGTGAAGGGTGTCACATGGCAGCTAGGTGGCTACGCACGTGCTGCATGAGGTAATTGAGATCTCTGTGGTAGATTTCGCTATAGCAGCAGTTGTGGGAGACAACAGCCTCGGTATAACAGTGGTAACGTATTACTTAATGTAATTAAACATAATACAGACATATAACCAATATAATATGAGTTCAAAGCAAATAAAACATAGGATGAAGGGATGAATACTGTTATAACTCTATAATATATAACTCTAGATATACTTTATCATGTTTGTTGTGATAGCATTCTATACAGCGTTCAACATTTACCATGCCAGAGTGAGGGAGTGAGTATGGTTTTACGCTGTTTTAGCAATATTCAAGCAATATCACGGACACCAGAAATGGGCTTCACACAGTGTACCCATGTTGGGAATCGAACCCGGGTCTTCAGCACGACGAGCTAACACTTTAACCACTAAATGACGCAAAGCGTGTGTTGTTTAAATAGGACCCCAGTACATCCAAATATCTCAAGATAGTATTTAAATACATTTTGTATAACTGTATAATAATTCTTCGGAAAATGAATTGGAAAGTATCGATACACAAGGCTCATATTGTGCTACGTGTATGCCAGTTATATCGCACGTACAATAACAGCAACACATGGCACACATACATACAAACAATCACAAGTACACAAAATAACAAAGTGAGTGAGTTAGTTGGGTTTAACGCTGCTTTTAACAGAATTCCAGTTATATCACGGCGTGTCAGCTTAATGTGGGAGGAAAGCCCGAAGTGATGCAGGTCTTAGACGTTTACCACTTTGGTGAAACCCACGAGCACGGGTATGGTGCTGACAAACCTAGAAACATAATCGGGGCAAACCGGGATTCGAACTCACAATCATAGGTTTCTGGCGTGCCCAAGGGACGCAACTCTGTACAGCAAATAGCGGTGCCTTAGACGACTGGGCCACCCGCGCCCCCCAAAATAACAAAGACATAGCTATGCTGATCACTAAAACTGTTTCAAAGCACAATGTAAAATAAAAATGCTAAAAGGACTAAATAGAGTAATTTACGTTAAGAAATGTACAATGAAGCAGACACAGAGTTCCCGCTGGCTTTTGAAACTGCCAGTCCTTGTAGACTGGCAACTCTAAACCAGTCCACCCCTAATTTTTGCCAGTCCCAACTTTCAACAAATGAAAAAATACTATGAAAATTATTTGGTCTTAATTCCTTCATCTTCATGTTCAGTGCAAAGATGTCATCTCTGAAGTAACTTAGTTACATCTTTACGTCATTCACACAAACTTCCGTCAAAATTTTCTCTTTGTTTTTTAATATTTTGAGATGAAGTCGCTACAAACGGATATTTAACCTAAAAATAGACAAGAGGAAACCCTGATGGTAACAGACAAGCTGACTTTGTTAGAAAAATGTACTTATATGAATATCACCGATGTTATCTTATTTGCAGTCACATGAATTACTGGTCCAAGCCTAATTTTACCGGTAAGAAAATGGTAATTACCGGTAAACGGGAACACTGCAGGCATTTAAAAAAGATTTGAAGCAATATATTAAATTTTATCACAACAATCTAAAAAAAGAACTGCTTGTTGGAATATTAATCGCCATAATAAATACTGGTTGGCCATATAGCTGTGGGTCTACAGAGACATGGGTTGGTATTACTCTGGGTGATCCTGGTTGAGGTAAGTTAAATATTTGTTGCAGGTCACTCAGCCCCGGTTTCATGCCTGACAAGCACAATGGCACTCACAATGACAGGGAGATTTCTTATTAGAATCAGACCACAACAACCAATGATTGTCTTGCCAGGTGAATTAATTAGGGGGTCAGATTACCCTGGTGACATGGTTGATCCCAAGTCATTGTCCCGCGACAGTGTGGATCATTGTTCATAACATCAATCACTGGTTTGTATGGTCCAGACTAAATTATTTACAGACCAACAAGCAACCTACCTTGACATATCCTCTACTTCCTAGACAGGTGGTGAGCGCCTTGCTCCACGGGTGCTCCTCCAGACTCAGGTCATGCACGTCAATCTCCTGCAGACTTCCTCACAGAGGGGAACAATATACATGAGGGGAAGCTAACACCACAGATAAATTCAAGAAAAACAGTTTTATAGCTTATATTACACTGTCCTTCCAACAGAAAGTTTTGCAACTAAAATATAATAATTAATATCATGCATCAATTTATCTAAAACTTTTAATTAAAAATCAGTCACTCTAAGAGCCCAGCCAAGATGGCTGACCAGCCTATACATCATGACAGCATAGTGGCAGACATGGTGGAAGTGACATCACGTCAAATTGCTGCTATTGCCTCTGATGCCATATATAACAGAGAGTTTGCTGGCTAAAGATATCTTGCATCTTGCGATACTCAAGGTACTAGTTTACTGTGTCCATGTTAGGTAGCCATTGTGACCAGCCAATCCCAAAACATAGGGAACTACCCATCGACCCAAGGCAAGGGAGTTAACTGACTTTAAAAGTCTACTTTCCATGCTTGCTCAACTAGTCTGGAATTCTGTTGCTCGATCGTAGCGCCAGCAGTGGCTAATACGAGTTATGTCCCTTTTATGACCTATCCTATTGACCAGTCAGACTCCACCTATCATATTACTTGCACATGCTGCATTTGCTTCAAACAAACTGGCGTGCCCAGTCAAGGCAGTGTGATCGATAATACAGATCTATATTGTTATAACACGCGTCTTAGCTCGCAAAATGCATAAAATTACTTGAGCACCTTGCTATAAAACATGAAAAGATTTGGAAAATATCTGTAGATGCCTGGTTGATGGTACAAATGCTTTACTAATCCTTCAATTGACCTGCGCGACAGTTTCCGAACCGGATGTCGATTCTGTGACACGGTTTTGACTGGACTATGCATAGACTAATAGTCTAGCCAAAACATAACTCCAAGTTCCAGCCTAGTTCTCGGCAAGGGTGGAAACTGGACTTAATAGTCAGCTAACACTTTTGCCTCGGGAAGATGGGAACTATCCTGCTGATGAATACACAGGCTTTAGGAATCATGCTTGTTCAGCAAATTCACATGATTCAGCAAGTGTGTACGTTAATTTAACATCAACTGAAATCAACACACATGGAATGGAGTGTGACCATACTGTACTGGACCACGTTGACAGCCTGGAAGAAATGATACTGTAAAGTCTATGACAATGCACTACTATATGTGCTGTAAAGTGTATCATAGTTTGAGACTACATCTCACATGGTAGACATGTTTAATATTAAACAATATCTTTTCTAAATCTAAGCATGCTAAGTGCTATCACCATCAAGATATTAATATTGTGTGATTAGTGGAAAAGATTCACTTTGATTGAAACATTTAAATTTCTAACCTTCAAACATGTCAACCCTATGCTATTATAGAAAATAAGAGTTTAACTTACCCAATACAATACAGATCAGGGTGCTTGGAATTCTCCAGGTCAAGGACATCTGTAAAGTCTACAGCCGGTTTGGATCCTCCAACATTCCAGGTACATAGATAAAGTCTAAACAACAAAAGCTTGCCTTGGATACCATAACAATTCTAAACATTTAAACTTAGTAAAATTTAAATATTTTTTACATTTGTATACTTATCCAGCATTAGTCCTTAATGCATTCACTGCTTACCTTACGACAACAAGAAGACAGCGCAACGGCGATAGTCTTGGGTGAAGAAATAAAGATGTTGTTGACTCCAGGTCACACTTTTATACGGACCACTGTCATGTGACCTTGATGACAAGTCACCTTCCCCACAACACTGCCTGTCGCCCGAGCTTAAAAAACATACTTTTGAGTTTTCTGAAGCCAAAGTGGGGAGGCAAGTCTGCAACGGTTGGGTCCTTAAACGTAGTAATGCAGGATAAATATACAAATGTAAAAAATATTTAGATTTTACTTTATTTTTTACTTATCCTGCATTACTCCTTAACGCATCTGTCTCAGACGGTTTGGATGTGGGTCAACCTTCAGAAATACAGAAACCTCAATAATTTACACCCTGAAAAACACGACACATGTTAGTCGATAAACCATGAAGCGGAAAAATTCAGAAAAACGCCTTACGGTAGGGTAGTTCAAATATCATACACACTGAACATAGGAATTAAAGAGTAGTTCCCTATACACATTTAGTAATAAAGAAATTATTAGCTAAGCAGCTAATTCTTTACTTACTATGTCACAGAGCCGAAGTCTGACAAAGAAAGGTTGTCAGTTTCCTTCCACTGTCCAAATCTCAGCGACTTGCGAGGGGAAGTAGACTGGCTCTGTATAGGGCGAGTTCATTATTTGCATCAGGGGTTGGCAACCTGCTGGGCAACAACCAGAGGGCCCTCGAGACACATCACGAAAATAATGACTAGCGAAAACTGTGTCGGACCTCCAAAACCATCCTTCCATGATCATTGCCCTGAGGATTATTCGCTCTCGGAGGATCCAGTTTGGCGATCTCTTAAGCCTAAAGGATGACTGGTTGTTGATTTTTTGTTATAAAATACCAGCACAACCTGAGATGTACCACTCCGTGCGTCCAATGCTAAAAGCTGACCCGGGTGATGTCGATTGCATGTAGCTCGCTCACCCGTGCCACCGTGGCTAAAGCCAAGAGAAATATTGTTTTCTTGGTGAGGTCATAAAATGAGGATGCATAGAGGGGCTCGAAAGGGGTCCATGCCAACCTCGAAGAACCACGTTCAAGTCCCAAGCAGGGAGGGGGGCAGAACTTGGCCTTCTGATCCTCAAGTCTGAATGGGCGTAGTGGGACCTGTAGTTCCGGGACCTTAGTCATCTTGCGATTTTCCAAGACGGCCAACACTGAGTTAAGTTCAACTAAGTACGTGGTAATGGTGCTACCTTTCAAGTGTTTCTTGGTACGCAAATGTAGGGGGTATTGGGTTTCTGAGCTCAACGAACCACCCTTTCGCGACCAGTCAGAGCAAGATTCCTTGTCTCGCTTTTAGCCCCTCCCTAGGGATGTTGAATGCACCCACCACCCAAGCCTGCAGATCCGGTAACGGGGAGGCAGACTTCATGAGTTGTTGGTTTTGGCACGTAGCAAACAGGTCGATGTTTGGTTGCCTGAACTTCTGAAGCAGTGGCTGGAATGCTTCTGTGTGAAGTTTCCACTCTGTGGGAGCCACCCTGTCAGGACGCAGTAAGTCATCGGCCAGTATGTTTCGACATCAGGGGATGTGCTGAACTATGAACTGTAGTTGCAGACGATCCACTATATTGAAAAACCTGAATGTTGGTTGTAGCAGGGAGTGGGAGCACGTTGTTCCTTGATTGTGCAGGCACCACACCACAGTGCTGTTGTCCATGGATATTGCAAGTTGGGCGGACTGTAGTTGATTCTGCCAATGTGATATGGCCAGAATTAACGCTTCTAACCCCAAGTTTTTTAGGTAAGGCCTTAGATGAGCCGGTAGAGTGATGGCCTTGAGTGGATCCTGATGTACGTGTACAATCTCTACAGCTCCCTTTACCATCACTGTGTCTATGTTGGCTTTTGAAAACAGATGTTGTTTTCTTGGATAATCCCAAGGGAGTGGAACTGTGGTCAACGATGTAAGTACCTCTACGTCTAGATGATAACCGTGACATGGTACGATGAGAACGTATCGTCCTTGAGGATGCTCCAGTTCTTCTAGAACCGATTCAGTCTCCCGCCTACGGGGGCCTACGGGGGTGTCGCCATTACGGTAGGGTCGTTCAATCTTCTTACAGAAGGAACGTAGGAATTAACGAGTTGTTCCCTATACATATTTAGTAATAAAGAAAATATTAGCTAGGTAGCTAATTCTTTTCTTACTTTATCATAGAGCCAAGGCCTGACAAAAAAGATTGTCTAATTTTCTTCCACTGGTCGAATCTCAATGACTTGCGCGGGGAAGGAGGGCCAAAACTTTGCACGCCTTCGACGTCCTCGAGAGTCACATCGCGAAGGTAAATGACTAGCGAAAACTGTGTCAGACCTCCAAAAACATCCTTCCATGATCGTTCTAATAGAATAATTGCTGTGAAACATGGTCGAGGCTAACACCCTGATCTTGTGAGGATTTTTCCAACTCCTGCTTTATATATGGACTATCACCGCTGTCATGTGACCTTGATGACAAGTGACCTTCCTCACATCAATGCCCTGATCTTGTGAGGATTATTCGCTCTCGGGGGATCCATTTTGGCGATCTCGTAAGCCTGAAGGATTACTGCGTGTGACCATAGAGATATGGTGTTGCGACTAACTTTGGTTATGGACGTAGGAGACACGGGTATAATTAAGCGGCGGATGAAAACATTGATGCTGGTACTGAGCAGTCTCAACATGGTGGGGCGGTAATAACTGAACACGGGGAGAATGTATGTCATTTTCATCTTGTCTGAGTCCTTCATGGGTACCAGGCAGGTGTGAGAATAAAACCCCAGTGTTAACTATGGGGTGTGAACCATCTCTACAGCTCCTTTCACCAACAGATTCAGTCTCCCGACTACGGGGGCGTCGCCAAACGTGACTGTCCAACATTTCAGTGTTTACCCCTCTTATCACCTCCCCTGCCTTGGTATTTACCACGACGGGATTGATAAGTACCTTGAGGTTGCCTCTGCCACGCCCTTTCCCACGAAAGGAATCCTTGTCTTGGCCTTCCTTGAGAGACAGACATTTAGGCTTATAATTGCCTGACTTGCCTGCTCGCTGGAAAAGATTATGAGAGACATGCTCTCGAGCCTTGAGAGCAGTCTCATCCCGAACGTAACTGGAAACTTTGGTGTTTGTAGATGACCAGGGTTGCCGTAGGAGCCTGCACTTGAACTCAAAGTCCCAGCTGAAAAGTAAATAGCCAAGTCAGCGTGTGACAGTAATCTCTGCCAGAGCAGCTTTGAGATGATTCCTCATGTGGTCAATCTGACGCTGTTGGAAGTCCACTATAGTTTGGAAATGATCTAGTCGGTTAGGGTTGTCTTCTGATAGATCCTGCTCTACCGCACGTGTTGACCATGCTAGTGCTGACAAAGGTTTCAACACCTGTCTGATTTCCGTTTCAACACAAATCTGGTATCTTGAACCTGATCTTTGAGAAGTCTTCATCCAATGACCTAGCCATATCTGTCAGCATAGGGTCAACCGGAATCAATGTAGGATGCGACCATATGGTGTCCTTTTATCCTACCCGTTTCCAGGGGAAGGTGCCACTGATACGAGACTGTCTGCTACCCAAATGGGTACTTGTGCAAAGCCTAGACACGTATTCCATTCTACCAAGGAATCTCCATCTTCTGATGAGTCAGAACGATGTTGATGTGTTCGCCAAGACGGTGATCGGCTTCTACTCCGGTGCGTAGCGCTACCTTTGACAGAGGGCTTGGATGATCCGCCTAGGGATAGGAAGTCATGCGCCAATGTTGATGTATGCGCTTGCGTAGTAGCGCTGCCCAGTGATAAATGCGCTGTACCAGGATGCGCAATAGGTGTATTGTAGACGTTAGGTGCCAGAGTAGGCGCTAAGTTGTAGCTGTCATAGTTGTAGCCGACGCAGGTATCTGGTTCATAGGCATAGGTGTTGGCGCAGGATACAGGTGTGACATAGTTACGATACACACAATCTCCTCTGGTATTGTGGATTTTGGCGGAGGGTGCAGTTCTGCAGTCACCGTGACGGGAGCCCAATTATCCACCGATGATAATGGCTGCGTGGTAATGACAGAAACATGTCCATCGCTATCTAGCGATTGTGACATCTTCCTCACCACACAACGGGATTGCTGCAAAATACATTTGCGACTTACCTGCCTATACATTGTAAAACTCTCTGGAGAGAGAGTTACACAAAAATTTCATTTAGAGCTGGCGAGCAAATCTGCATGCATGCCAAACAACATGGATGAAGATCTTTGAAAGATTTTTTACCGACAATTAGTACAACGCGCAAGGATAAGTTACACAAATAAAGAATTGTTGATGAAACGGGATTGGAAGAGTGACGTTAGAATTAAACAATATTCTATCGGCAAATATTTTTTACAAGTTGAAAGTGTATACAATATTGATATCACAACTCTATGTAACGCCAAAGCTACTAGTATTTAAAAACACATGAATATGTAATACATACATAGCTGAGAATTGTAAACAATTTGACTACCTTGGCAAGCAGACAATTGCAACACAAATTGAAAATGGCGGGAAACAACAAGCATGTGGCAGGAAAAAAGACAAGGTCTTTTTAGGCCTATTTTAATTTTAGAATTATAGCCAAACATTAAAGGTTTAAATTAATCCAATTTGACAAGCTCCACTGGGACACGTCCTTGCTGTAGCGCGACAGGCAATGATGTGGGGAAGGTGACTTGTCATCAAGGTCACATGACAGCTGCGATGGTCCGTATAAAAGTAGGACTAGAAATCAACAACATCTTTATTTTTTCAGCCAAGACAATCGCCGTTGCGCTGTCTTCTTGTTGTCATAAGGTAAGCAGTGAATGCATTAAGGACTAATGCAGGATAAGTAAAAAATATACATTTTGAAAAACATGAAACTTAAACATGTTAAACATAATCTGATAGCATCTCCTGATCATACACATGAATAGCATGATACCGGTGGCATACTGGGAATGTACTGCATGTGTACTCTCACCATATAACTTTACCATTCTTTGGCCTAAATATTCAAAAGTTGAAAGTTAGAATTTAAAAAAGAAATAATTTCTTCAATAAGATTATGACACATTGAATATGTAGCTATATGCTCTTCAACAAAGCATGCTAAAGTTTTTCCTGGGTAGTAGCATTTGTTCATAGTGACTTAGAAAATGAAAAATGTCACAGGCAACGTAATGATTCAAGTAGCATTGGGAACTGGATGTAAAATCATGACTGATGATAGCATCAACCAACCCATCTTTCATCAAACTTAATCAGTTAGCATAATTTTTCTTTTTATTAATACTAGATCACACCTAACACAACTGATTACTTCAAAACTATGTTTTTTTCAAAAGAGACATGTCTCCACTCTTTATTATGTTTTTCTCCAAGTAATGAGCACAATTTCAGGAAACAAAACCACCTCAAGACTTGTTAGAGGGGTCAAAACCGTTTGTGTTTGATCATGAAAAATTGGGTTTGGTTGCTTGGCCTTTCGATTATTTCAATTAACCGGAACACTACTAGTACTACATACAAGAATTGTTCGTTGTCTGCTTGATGGAACCTCACACTTATGTTGTATTGCTATATGTAGTTTCTGAGCTAACCATCTGTTCATAACAAACTTGAGTCCAAACAAAATGGCACAAAAGCCGTTTCTTGGTGGTCATAGCCATGATACTCAGACAAAGTAGATGTGTCAGAAGGACTGGTCTGGGTCATGTAATAATGTATGTTTTATGAAAATGGAACATGAAAACTATGTATCAAATTCATCATGAAAGACAGTCATCAAGTCACAATCAAAGGCTGGGAAATCTAAACAAACACATGGCCTTACTATGTGACAATGCACTTTTCTTTCTACAACCATCAGCAGGACAACATATTGGTTATTTCGAAATCAATTGTGTTTAATGCACTGTGTTTTAGTTACTTCAACCACAAGGAGGTGTTATGTCCATTGTTTTGACAGGTTATTATTTGTAACAATCCCTTACGCGTTACATGCCGAGGTTGGACGATTCGATTTGGACGAGAGGGGAGCTCGCCTTGGTTCACGGTTCTGCATCCTTGTGGATGATATGGACTTTAATGGTCTTGGCTAACAGCAACTGCCTTCAAGTCCACATCCCTAGGAGGAGGGTGCTAACATACATGTAAAGTCTATTACAATGCTCTTGGCTAACAGCAACTGCCTTCAAGTCCACATCCCTAGGAGGAGGGTGCTAACATACATGTAAAGTCTTTTACAATGGTCTTGGCTAACAGCTAGTGCCTTCAAGTCCACATCCCTAGGAGGAGGGTGCTAACATACATGTAAAATCTATTACAATGCTCTTGGCTAACAGCAACTGCCTTCAAGTCCACATCCCTATTAGGAGGGTGCTAACATACATGTAAAGTCTATTACAATGGTCTCGGCTAACAGCAACTGCCTTCAAGTCCACATCCGTATGAGGAGGGTGCTAACATACATGTAAAGTCTATTACAATGGTCTTGGCTAACAGCAACTGCCTTCAAGTCCACATCCCTAGGAGGAGGGTGCTAACATACATGTAAAGTCTTTTACAATGGTCTCGGCTAACAGCAACTGCCTTCAAGTCCACATCCCTAGGAGGAGGGTGCTAACATACATGTAAAGTCTATTACAATGGTCTCGGCTAACAGCAACTGCCTTCAAGTCCACATCCCTAGGAGGAGGGTGCTAACATACATGTAAAATCAATTACAATGGTCTCGGCTAACAGCAAGTGCCTTCAAGTCCACATCCCTAGGAGGAGGGTGCTAACATACATGTAAAGTCTATTACAATGGTCTTGGCTAACAGCAACTGCCTTCAAGTCCACATCCCTAGGAGGAGGGTGCTAACATACATGTAAAGTCTATTACAATGCTCTTGGCTAACAGCAACTGCCTTCAAGTCCACATCCCTAGGAGGAGGGTGCTAACATACATGTAAAGTCTTTTACAATGGTCTTGGCTAACAGCAACTGCCTTCAAGTCCTCATCCCTAGGAGGAGGGTGCTAACATACATGTAAAGTCTATTACAATGGTCTCGGCTAACAGCAACTGCCTTCAAGTCCACATTCCTAGGAGGAGGGTGCTAACATACATGTAAACATGGTAAAGTCTATTACAATGGTCTTGGCTAACAGCAAGTGCCTTCAAGTCCACATCCCTAGGAGGAGGGTGCTAACATACATGTAAAGTCTATTACAATGCTCTTGGCTAACAGCAACTGCCTTCAAGTCCACATCCCTAGGAGGAGGGTGCTAACATACATGTAAAGTCTATTACAATGGTCTTGGCTAACAGCAACTGCCTTCAAGTCCACATCCCTAGGAGGAGGGTGCTAACATACATGTAAAGTCTATTACAATGGTCTTGGCTAACAGCAACTGCCTTCGAGTCCACATCCCTAGGAGGAGGGTGCTAACATACATGTAAAGTCTTTTACAATGGTCTTGGCTAACAGCAACTGCCTTCAAGTCCACATCCCTAGGAGGAGGGTGCTAACATACATGTAAAGTCTATTACAATGGTCTCGGCTAACAGCAAGTGCCTTCAAGTCCACATCCCTAGGAGGAAGGTGCTAACATACATCTAAAGTCTATTACAATGGTCAGGGCTAACAGCAAGTGCCTTCAAGTCCACATCCCTAGGAGGAAGGTGCTAACATACATGTAAAGTCTATTAAAATGGGGTTTATGAAATGGGCACCTGATAGCACCCTTTAACTAGGGGTGGCATTGATTGAACATTTTAGCGTCAATATATTATCTTGACTCAGGTATCACAATATATCCATTTCAATTAATAATAGTTACCTTATCTGTATGTGTATGGATAAACATTTCCCATGTTGACCTGCAATTTATCAATGTTGTTTATCAATTAATAATTTAGGATCAATATCCATGAATTTGTATTGATAATTTATAAGGGATCATGAGGGATCTTAATGGCGCACGCTTACTAACCTATTAAATGTGTCATATGCAACCTGTTTCTTGTTCCTGTTTGGGATAATGCAAAATCAATATACATATGTTAAAGGGCCAGAGGACAACCTCCAAACAGTGGTTTCTTTTTTAATTTCATTTAGTGCTTCTCACTAAATGGGTTTATTGAAACCATAATGCACCTCTTTGTTTACCTCCGTTACATCATTTCCTCTTACAATCCCCCGTCACTTACGTCATGATTCTATTTCCTATGACGTCATCAAACTTTCTCTTGCGTCATCACCATTGTCCGTTAGTCCTGTCAAAATTTTCTGTACCCAGTTTTGTACAGCAATTCTCAACTTTTGGCTAATGACCCTGGTCGAGCAACAGCTAGCCAGGACTGGCCAGCATCCCAGAGCCATACTTATACATCTGGGCTCAAACGATATTTGCAAGAGGAAGGCCAGCCAGTTGTACCTGGACATCCACCTGGCTATGTTGAGGCTCCACCTGCTAATGCCTCAGACCACCATCCTTTGGTCGGACATGCTACCGAGGAGGCATTGGCATGGAGCCAATTGCTTTGATGCAATGGAAATTGCTAGGAAAAAGGTCAACAGACGGTTGGGCATCCGTGTCAGGGAGCTTGGGGGATGCACATTCAGCATCCCAAGGGATAGTTCCCTGTATGTCTTGGATGGAGTCCATCTATCAGTCAAAGGACTCCAAATTTTCACAAGCATAATCCGCAAAGCCCTATGCCAAATGAAGGTAGTAAGTAAGAAAAAAGAAAGAAAAGTAAGCAACACTTAATTCTTTCGTCTGTGGCTAGTTAGGGGGGTCCTCATGGTTCATGGTCTTCTTAGGGCAGCCCACAAGTCCTGCCACACCTATGACCTTGAACCCAACATATGCCTTTCTTATTTCTCTTGCATTGTCAACTTTGACAAGGAAAGGTTACTTTGCATGGGTTGTTTCAATAAACATTTTCGAATGGAAGTAGGAGTCAGTCCACTTAATAAACATTCCAGAAACTTATCATATAAAAGTTACTGTGTATACTTATGTGTAGCCGTGACATACTGCAACAAAAAGGGCTGGGACAGGTAACTTGGGTACTCGGGTCGGGTGGGTACTGAGTAGGACCCAGGTTCAATCAAGCGATGAAATATCATGCTTAGATTTGCATAAGTAAACAGTTGACAAGGGGGGCGTGGATTACGAGATTTACAGATACTGGGATATTAAAGAGCCTGTGATCACATAGGGTCATAATTTACCGACATATAATAAAGAGTCTGTGATCATATCGAGTCCTACTTTATTTACCTATAATATAGAGCCCGCCATCCTATAGAGTCATGATGACTAAATTGGCCAAAAAATGTGTCTATGGTGTTGGTTTTCAGGGTGCATGATGTAGATTTTTATGTGTACATGTTAACCAAATCTTCTAGATCTATGTACTTTTTAACTAGTTCATTGTCAGTCTACATTCCATAATAAGAAAACATGACTATTCATTACTTTCATGTTGTAAGCTAGAGACAAGTACACGCACACATTGAGAATAACCCAACGATGTACATAAACATGATATAGAATCTACCTACCTCATTTGCTTACAAGGCAGCTTCTTCGCCATAACGTTGTGATTTCCTTATTCCGTTCTACCGTGAAATTGTATATCCAGATACGGAGGGAAATTGATGTTCAAACTTATTGAATGGCAAAGTGGGAAGCTCTGTACTTAGTGCATTTTAGCGATTGACATTCTTGCTATATTGTCAATTATATTTTGTAGGTTATAACATTGATGAGAGAAAGTTTGCAACAAGACTTTGTGCAAACGTTGTTTTGAAAGAAGTCACTTGGAAGTACCCGTGTGTTCTACGTCATTACATTGTGTGTATATGGTTAAATTCCGGACGTAGTTTTTTTAAACAAACTATAAATGATGTTCCTGATAAAAAGGATCCGGTTCTCCAAAATAAGACTAGTTTACTTGTGACTTATTCAATACCATTAACCATTCGAGTGATAATAATTTCTCGAGATAAATTATCTTAAATAAAAAAATTGACAATCTTTATCTATACACAATTTAAATATATATATATATATATGTTCCTAATAATGAATTTCATTGGAATCGACAGTTGCCCAAATAATATATTGTACTTTTTCACTGGAATACACTTTTCCACCTTCAATGAGAAGACAACTCTTGTGTTTATATTCAGACGCGCGAAGCTTTGTCGGTCAGTGGTGTTGTGACAGACACTTGTCAACTGTATCTCGTCTGAGGCTTTTCCGACAGTAAAAACCACGCTACTTTGGTTTGTCACAGAACAATGAATTCTCGAGAAATTATTATTAGTCGAATGTTTAATGTTATTGAAATCGTCATATTTAATAATTTGTAGACTAGTCAACAGCTGGTCACACACATCTGTTTACTACATAAGAAACAACCATTTAAACTATTTCTAAAATTCCTAAATTCCTATATTTCTAGGGTCGTAATGATTAACCGAAAGATGCACCGAGGTGCATTATGCATCTTTGGAGCTCTTTGTAGTACGAAATGAATTTATCGCATGTATTTTAAAAATATAAGCATTGTGACATTTTTTTATTTTTTTTGATTCGGCGGAATCGAGTGTGATATTAGTTTTAACAGGGCACCAATCGGGGTAACGATAAAAAGTTAACATAAAATGTCTATAAAAGCTGCTAAATGTAAATTAAAAACTTGATTATTTATCATAATCGTGCTAAAGTCTCATAAATTTACAGCTTTTCATGCTTTCAAATTTGTTTCTTAACCTCATGATTCTCAATTCATGAGCAAATAATTGGGGTTTTCTTGAACAATACAGATATATTTTTCTGTTCTTGTAGTCCAGTCACTGAGATCCAGAGATGGCATCTTCCCCTCGATCTCTGAAACACAGAGAAATGTACAAGGTTAGAACTCCACCTTGGAAGGAGACATACAGAAAGGTATTGCACTTTGTTTTCTTGTTTACCAGACAAACAATTGCAAATAAATGTCTTCATATTATTAGCACTGCATGGTCTGGTAAATGAAAGCTTTAACCTTATCTGTTGTTCATGGTCATGGTGGTGTAGAATAAATAAGTTATTCCCACTGTGTGGCTAGTTTACATTGTTTATGCTGACACATTTAATTTTGACAATTATGACATGTATGCCTAATGCAGAGTTGCATCCCTTGGGAACACCAGACACCTGTATCATAGATTCAAATCCTGGTTCCCTTATTATGTGTTTAGGTTTGTCGGTAGCATACAAGGGCTCGTGGGTTTCACCAAAGTTGTTAACTTCTGAGACCTGTATCACATATGGCTTTCCTCCAAATTTAAGCTGACATACTGTGATATAACTGGTATACTGTTAAACATGGAGTAAACCCACCTCACTCACTCACTCACTCACTCACTCACTCACTTGATGTAACAGTTCACTATTGTATAAACAGGGCTCAATTTAGCTGTATAGAATATGCACCAGTACACTTATTATTGAAAAATGTCTATATGCACCAAGTGCATGTAAAAAAAATACAAATCAAGTTCAAAGTTTATCTGACTAACCCTTACTGAATCACACAACATTGATCTTTGAATATAATAAGCTGTATATAACATACTATGTCACTAATCCCAGTGTTTTGTACAATTTGACATGCTTTCTTGGGCTTGTTGTCATCAAACTGTGGACACTTTAAGATAATGTGCACATGTTCCTATAATGTCTTACAGCAATATATCATTAATCTATGTGACACTCCCAGCAGACCGACAAATGCTTTAACTTTGACAAATTTATGGGACCAGGGTGCAACCTGCTTCTGTCTGGTGCAACTAGGATTTCATGGCAACATGCACCTGGTGCAAATTAAATCCAGTTCCTTGATGAGCCTGATTAACAAAAGCATTTGACAGTAAAACCGTATTGAATAAATATGGTTGTCATGTCAGTATCCACCCCTGGGACTTCATTGGCTGATAAATGAAAATACTTGTGAAGATGGAAAATATGTGGGCCGAGTTATTGCTTAACAGATCAATATATTTTCTGTCTCTGCTCCCGAGCTGATAATCAGCGTTAGAAATTGGCACTGGTCCTGTAGTCCTTACCAAACTGCCCAATAGTAAAGGTATCCTAAGGACTAGTAGACATTGGCCCATTTTAAGGGTTTTGCTATATGTTATCATTATAAGGACTAGTGGACAAAAACTGTTAGTTTCTAACCCTGATAATAATAGTGAAGGTAGCCAGCTGCAGGCAACATTTATTACCATATAAACTGAAACAGTTACAACTTAGTTGAAAGTTGACATACACAGCACTAACCACGGATAATTCAAAATGAAATGGAAATATATAGGTAAGCAGCATGATTGCGAACTTCTGAGTGCAGGTCAACATTAACTTTTGATTGAACAATGATCTTACCACTGTTGATGTCAATTGTCAATCACAAATGTAGCAGTTGGATCCCCACACTAGTCACAGACTTATCACATGTCACCCTTGTGTAAGAGGGAATACAAACAGAATAGTTGATGTCAACCACTATCCAAATATGTTTTCTACTAACTATCCCTTTTCTCTTATTAAAAGCGATGTCTGGATCGGTTACGTGGAAATCGAGAAAAATTGTTTTCCCGTTTCCGCAACCTACAACCTGAGGATGAGGGAAAGAGCAAGAAAGATGAGTTTATCAAGGACCTGATGACAGAGGAGTGGAAGTCACTACAGAGAGACAAGGCATCAGGCAACAATGCAGACTTAATGGACTTCGATGTACGTGATGCTTGTGTACCCATGCTATTTGCTACTTGACTATGGCTTTTATCTCACCTCAACTGAAAGTTATGTAAGCTTATGTCATTCATCATAGTCATGGGGCCTTAAGCTTTTACATTTTCTACTTCTCTTGTGAAATGTATTTCTATTGCACCTTGGAGGGCAATGTCTCTTTTGTCATGAAAGACCTAGTGTTAGGGGCAGAAATGACACACTGACATTGTGTGTGTGGTTATTGAATCAGAGAGCACTTAGGAAAATAGGCTGATTAACATCATCAGGATGGTCATATTGGTTTTATATCATATATCTAAGTAAGAACTTATTATTCCCAAAGATATTTTGCTGAAGGGACATATTATTCGCATCCATATGACCTGTAAGCTGTTAAGAAATCCCAACTTTGTTCTTCAGTAAGGCTACGGAGTGTAGAGAGAAGGAGAAATGTTTGGGTGCTAATACCAATCATAAATAGTACTATCAAACGATTTTGCAGTGTCTGGTGCCACTGTCCAGGTCTAGATGTTGAGATGAATTCCATGTGAGAAGCTGAAACATTATCTTTTAAGTAATCTTTTACTAGATTGATATCCATCTCACTATTTGAGTCAGCTAACAAATCAGTGTTTGAATGATTTTAGTCTAACTAGCTAGGACTGCCAGTTTGCATGAGCCTATTTCCCTATCATTTATCATCATTTTTATTTTCCCTGCTCAAAGATCGAGGCTTTTGATGTGAGTGAGATAGATGAGATGCTGAATTTGTTTGAAGACATTCAGGAGGAACTGATGAAAGAAGGTATGCTTATCCCATGGACACTAGGAGTGTAACTGAGGGATGGTGTAGCCAAGTCATGGCTGGGTCACATTGAAACAATTAGACTTTGATCAAACTAACCTAAACGGGCAGTTCCAAATGGAGAATTTAAGAATAGGCACACTAATTATTGTGAATATTTTAGACACCCTGTCATTTCTGAGCACAATGACATCTACACACAAGAGTTTGTACTATTAAGGGAGTATTTGTGTTATTTGTGGGTATTAAGATTGAAATTTCTGAATGGAGGTGGCAAAGAAATGAAGCTAAATCATGTTAGGAAGTTTTAATCTGATTGTCTCAAGACCACATGCAGCCCTCATTGACGATACCCAGGGAATCTATTTTGTTCTTCTCTTTTTCCTATTTTCCCTCTTCCATTTTTCCAGTCTTGTCTTCTTCAGTGAATCCTTCAGTGAATCCTTCAGTATTTATACTCGGACCCCATGGTACCGCGGCATTCATCGTATCGCGGCATTTGTGATTTCCGATAGTTCACGCGGGACACGCCTCTTGGCAGCTGTCTATTAAAGCTAATCAGTAACCAGGAAGTGCACACTTCGTAAACAATTTCAATTTCCTCGGAATGTTCCGTCTGCTGTAAGTTAGGAGTTATTAATGCGTTGATACATATTTCTGGCATCTTTTGTAATATTGCCTTACCCCCATCTATCAATGGCCAACGATATAACCCGTAGTTCCCAAAGTAAACTTTCTCTATCGACCCGAACTAGATCATCTGCATATTCATGGCGACTAATAAGGTAACGGAAGTTACGTAGTCCGAACATTTTTTCCCGCTCTGTGCCCAGAATTTATTGGGAGATCATAAGGGCCATAATGCCAAACTAAGAAATACGTTCTTCACTAGCAACCAAAAGATAAATACATACTTTGGGCATACTAGGAGTGGTTTTTATATATTTATTGTTGCCTTTTAACATTTTTCCATTTTGTGACAAATTATTGTCATCCATTTTTTTTTAAACAATCTTAAAATATCATTTCTGTTATTTTGATGTTGACTTATAAAAATATTTTTCTCTTACTTTTCGGTAAATATGCATTGAATACCTATTGCTGATAACACATTTAGAATTTTACTTGTGCTGTCTTTGCACTTGTCTGGACAAATCACTGATGTCTGGCATGATCATGCCAAGTGGTTGGTAGAATCATGTCCTCTTTTTGTCCAATTCGGACCTCAATACACAACTTTTCCCTGTACCGCGATACGATGGAGTTCTCTCCCTTGTCAAACTGAGCGCGAGGCACGGCTTTTACTCGGAGCTACTAATGTAAATAATGAACTTTTATCAGTAAAATATGCATTGTTTGATAACATGAATGATATCTGATACAGAGAACACGAATAAACATAAAGGTAAGTGAGTGCATTTTGTTCCGTTTAGCGTACATGACAAGTACCGCGATACCCCGAGGTTGCAGGCTACCCTCATGAATGTCGGCGTCAAGAGCAGGACAGGCTCTCTAAAAATCAACAAAAATTAAGAAAACCCCTTTGAAGAAGTCTAAAAAATCAGTGAAACTATCTACATTCTCGACGATTTGGGATTTGCCGACCCCTTGTCCCAACTTTGGTCGCTGATAATGTCAACCTTTTTCTGCCCGAGTACATCCCTAAGACTGCGGCTTTGATTGAACCCTCTACAGTCACTTCTCATCACTCCCTGTCTACTCCTAGATGTTCCAGATCCCCTGTTCATCATTCTCCTGGAGAACGGTTGTCAGAGGATTGCCGATCTGACTCGTTAGACTCTTCTCTCGATCAAGATTCCCACAGGTCTCATTCTCGGGAGTGCTCTCATGAGGATCGACAATCTCCTAATGGGGATGAGCTTGTGAAGTCTTCGAAAGCCCTGCGTGTGTCTCATCCCGAAGGCTTGGGCCGAGCGCACAGCCTCTACCTACTGGGCTCATCGACTATACCCAGTAGCACATCCCATGTACACTCAGCCTTCAGTGTCGTACATCAGTACATCCTGGATGCAGAACTTCATGCAATCCATGTGGTAGCAGTCTATGTCACAGATGTACCAGGTGTCTGTGCCTGTGTCAGTAGCAGACCAGGCATATATCTTGGATGAAGCCTTACAGAGGATGACCGGCTCATCTAAGCCAACCATACTGAAGATCCCAGACGTCAGATTTGCCTTCATTGAGACTGACATCAGACGATCACTCAAATCTTTGTGGACACAGGTGTCTTCATCCCGAGCTATGGAGCAGAACTTATCAGAGATAAATCCCAATTGCCTCAATCACTTTCAGATTTGTGAAAATCTACACACAGGCTTGGCTATCTGGTGCTCTCCAGTTGAGACTCTGAGTTCGTCTCCTCAGTCAACCATGGTTGGCCAGTTCGTTATTCAATGATCAAGTCAGGGATACACACGCCAAGGCCTCTAACCACGCTCGTGATGAAACCTCTCTCAAGGCACTGGAGCATGTCTCCCACAGCCTGTCTCAGCAAGCTGGCAGGTCAGGCAATTATCGGCCATGATGCTCTTCCCGCAAAGAACAAGATCAAGAATCTTTATCTTTAGGCAAAGCACAAGGATCTAATCAGTCCCACTTTGGGAAATTCCAAGGCAGGAACTGGGATAAGAGGTGGAAGCATTGAAGCATTGGACAGTCACGACTGGGAACTCCCAACCCCAGTCGTCCTAACCGTGGTGGGAGGCTGGGCCTCTTCTGGTTGAACTAGATCGGACTGGCGGATGCAACGTACTAAACATACTGCGCTATTGTTATCACTTGAATATATTGGTAGACCCACTGTTGACCATGGCACCTTCTGTTCATAGGAGGCCTGTTCCAGACAGATCATTACCTACTATTACTGCCGAGGGACAGATTGCTCAAGAACCTATGCACCTGTCACCTCCCCTTTGACAATCTTGCACACTTTGCCAGTGGCAAGTGTTGTTGGGATTGCTCACATCAGCTCAGAACATGACAGAGGCCGGCTACACCTATGCCCAACACAACAGTTCCTGGGCGTCAAGACCTCTATGCAGCCATCACTCTTTGAGGCGCTCATTCTGGCAATCTCACATTGGCAGGAGCAGCTACGGTACACCCAGCTTGCAATGTCCACCACCACAGTGGTGTGGTGACTGGGCAATCAGTGGACTTGGCACTCTCACTCCCTATGTCAACAGACGTTCTTTTTCTTTCCTTTGGTGGATTGCTGAGGACTACAATTCTTAGTCCAGCACATTCCCGGATGTCGGAACATTCTGGCAAACGCCTTGTCCCAACCAGGCAAGGTGGCTCACATGGAGTGGAAACTCCAGCCTTAGGTGTTTGAACTGGTGCATCAGTGCTTTGGTCAAGCCAACATCAACCTTTTCACAGCACATCCGAACCACCAACTAAAGACGTATGTCTCACTGATTCTGGATCCGCAGGCTTGGGCAGTAGACACATTCAGTATCCCCTGGGAAGAACTAAAAGTGTACGCTTTTCCACCTTCTGTACTATTTTCCTGGGTGATACACAAAATCAAGGCTACCAAGAACTGTACTTAAGAACGAGAATAAGTTGGCAGGGGGAATCACATGTTCAGCGTTTGTAAAAAAATCATGCACGACCCAGATTGTTAGGATGTGACCATGGTGATGCTGGGTGGGGTCGGATGAATTGTTTTTAGAAGCTGGAAACCTTTGTTTAGGCACATTTCCACTTAGGATCAAAAGAAGAATGAGAAATGCATAGTGTGAGATGGGATTAGTATTATGAATATACAATTTATTGTAAAATTTAAAATGTTGATGAGATTGTTGTTCTATTATCAGCTGATTATTTGAAATTTCTTGACAATATCATGTCAGATGACAGTGCTATAAATGAGCTTGCTTATTTGAGATATACAGCGGACAAAGTATGAGCTAAGTTGGTTTAATTGGTTCAATTTCAGAAAATAAATTGCTGTCTGAGTACGACCGTTATGAACATAGTCTGCGTAGGGAGGAGGAGGTTCTGTGTTCTGCCATTGAGACCCTGTCTACAGAGGATGTTCTCTGCCCGGTCTGTCAGAAGTAGGTAGCCAGCAACAGACAGTTGAACGAATAGCATCCCATTGTGTCAACAAAACAGGTTTAGTTGTGTAGAATATATGTTGATAGCCTTTTGGAAAATCTGTTAATGTAACTCTAACTTTGAATATGTTGCTCTGGTAATATTTTATGTTCAAATACTGTTGAGTCATATTATCATGATTATATGTGTTGTTAATGTTTTATTTTCAGACATGTATTGATGTTGAACAAGGGTATTGTGTTCTGCAGCTGTGGACTGAGAATTGATACTGAGGTGAGACATGGAACACACATGAGTATGAGAGCAGGTAGATCGATCCCTGTGGGATTCTGGGTTAGAATAGGCCCCCGACCTACACTGGTCAGAAGGTGGGGACTTATGGATAGGGTGGTCAGGTTTGGAGACTTCGTTCATATGATGTTGTTGTATCCCAACTGTGTGGATCTTTACTGTATTGAGACACATGTCACTGTGTAGAGTTGCATCCCACAGTTGTACCAGGATCAGCTAATCATGTTCAAATTCAAGGTTCACCATGATTTATATCCTTGGTGTGTCAGCACCATACACTTCCTTGTAGGTTTCACACCGTTGTGACAATTCTACAATTGGCATCACATTTGACTTTTATTCAAAATAAACCCAACCCACAAACAACTAGTGTGTCTGGTCCAGACTCATTAACACAGATACTTCTGTTATGTTGTCGTCATAATGAGGTAATGTGGATGTAATGTTGCTGTCTGTAACAAAACTGTGTATTACTTCACTGAACATTGTGGTTCATACTGTGAGCCCCAGTATGAGTATTGTATCTGAACCACAATATCATTCTCTTTCAGATTAATTCCTCCTTGGGGCACTTATTGCATTTTCCTGGCTCAAGAAAATCTACATGACATAGTTGTAACCATTTTCCTTAATAAAAAATGTTACCACACAAAAAACTTCGTTTTTGTATGATATACGTCCACCCTTATGGTGCTTCACCCTCCACGGCGCGTCATGCCAAGGGAAGCAACTCTCACCAAAATCACTTTCTTTATGTCATCTGACAAAGACAGACGTGCCTGTTTTTTTCAAGACTAAAAAAGTACAAGATAATCGTTCGTACAAGAACCATGGCAGACCAAACTGTATGTATGGTACATTTCTTTCATGCAAAGGCGTAATACCTCGCATTGTAAAGTTATAAAGTTGTAATTATGTGACACGTGTACGATACCTTTGAAACAAAGGCCGTCGTGGCGTCCATATTGTAGTGCCACGTATGATACATGTAACACCAGGGCTATTAAAAACGGCTTGGGGTTTTTAATGTTCTATCATCGGGCTTTAGCCTACAATCTTTTCCTTTAAGAAACCCAAGGTGGTGTGTTAATTATATTTAAATTACACTTACCTTCTTTTTTTCTTTTTTTTACAGTTTTTTTACACCTTCGCGCGTAACACGCCCACTTTGGTGTTATAATTATACTACGACATTGGCTATTAGTATCGCGTTACCAATCGCATTCTAAATTACGCCTTTGCTTCTAGTTTCACAATTTATGCACGTATCTTTCCGATCTTTCAATCGCACTGATACACTTTATTACCCTTCCCGCCCAACTCAGAAATTACGGTCTATTACATTAAGTAATACGTTACCACTGTTATACCGAGGCTGTTGTCTCCCACAACTGCTGCTATAGCGAAATCTACCACAGAGATCTCAATTACCTCAAGCAGCACATGCGTAGCCACCTAGCTGCCATGTGACACCCTTCACTCTTGTCTCTTCGCTTGCTCTAGCAAGACGTACAATAAACTGCTCAAGCGTTCCTGTTTCTCCGACCATTCGGTGATATTTATTACTGTTTATTCACCTAATAAACTGTGCTTTTACGGGGCGTTTGCTGTAACTACGCTTGGAAATATTTTTCCCGCCAAAAGGAAATATTTTTCCCGCCCATTTTTTTCTATATACTTGCGGGGTGTCTCGTACACACGTTGCGTCTTACGTTCCCCTGTTCTAGTATATCTTGGGGTTTTTACATCACTTATTCCTCTATATGTTATATGTGTATGTTCTATATTCCCATTGCTCGTTTATTTTCTTGTGAAAATACTCGTTTGTGACTATTTGTGGTGCGTGTGTTATAACCATGTTTTGCTCTTTGTTCATAGTACAAACAAAATGTCTGACATGGATGTTTCGCCGTCCTCCACCCCCTCTACCCCCACAACCAGGAGCTGCGGGGTGTGCCGCAAGCGAGCGCTACCGGCTGTATGTGCAGTCCGTTTCCACCCCTGTGGTGGCCGGCTCGTCCGGTCGGGGTCCCCTTGCGGGTACCACCACCACGGCTGCGGCGGATCCCTTGGCGGCCCGTCGGCTGTCCGGGGTTTCCGTCGCTGCATTACTTGCATAACTTGTGGACTCCAAGCTGGCGGCCTTATCTCAGGATAGGCCGCTGGCTGTACTGTCCCCGGCCACTTCGGTGGCCGCGGGGTCCACCGGTACGGCGGCGGCTCCCGTGGTCACCGGTCCTTCCCCCGAACCGTTGCTCCCGCTATCGGTTAAGGACCGCGTGGCCATGGTTTATGACCTCTTTGAGGACATGCCCCGGCCGGTACCGCGGGGAATCCACGACTGTGGGTTCCTCCGAGGTATACGATGAGTCTTCCGACACGGCTTTCCCCGCATCAACCTTGCTGCGCGGTATCAAGCCTTCCTTGGAGAACGCCTTCGCGGCGGCCTCCGGTCGGGGTCTCCCGTTGCCTCCGCCGTCTTGGAGAAAGGGTTTATTCCCGGTACATGACCTTGCCTTTCCCGAGGCTGGTCCTACTGCGGAGGCCCATGTTGAGCGGTTGGGTGTCCGTGCCCCACCGGCTGCTACGGTAACGCAAGCTACCTTGCACCAGCTGGACGCCCTCGCTCGGCACTCCATGTCTCACGGAGACACTTACTTGGCTGCAGCGGCCCGTCTGGTCGAAGGTTCTCCCACGGACCGTGACCAGGGCATTTACAACTGCCTGCTCAGTTTAAATGTTTCCCTGGAGTACGTTGCCGAGGACTCTCGGCACACACTTGCTCTTGTTTAGTCCCTGCATAGGCGCCTGGGTGCAGCTCCTAACCGGAGCGCGCCCCAGGCTGCTGCGGCCGGTAGGTCTAAGGGGTCGGGTTCTTTTTCCTCTGGGAAGTAGCCCCGCCCTGGGGGCTCCGGTATGGGCAATCAGCTGCCCTTTCGCGGGAAGACGGGGAACTGGGGGAAGCCCAAGTCGTCGACGGACGGCAAGGGCCCCTCCAGGTGACTCTCATTGGAGGGGTTCGTATGCCGACAGCGCCAACTTCGGTTGGCCCTGAGGCGAACCCGAGTCACTTGGCCCTGGACAGTTGCGCCTGCCGCAGCCTGTCAGGGCCCCCTCTCCTTCCCCAGTGGGAGCCAGACTCCAGACTTACTGGGAGAATTGGGAACAAGTGTTCGACGACCCGTGGGTGGTCAACACGATTCGGTACGGCTATCGGCTTGATCTCAAAGCGAATCCGCCGCTCACCGTTGCCCCGTTGGCAGGTTTCGATTCGGAAACCGATCTTCCCATCCTCGCCGATGCCATCGGCAGGTTGGTGGAGAAGGGGCAGTACGGGAGTTAGCTCTACCAGAAATAACACCGGGGTTTTACTCCAGGATATTTCTCGTTCCCAAGTAGGACAGTGCCGAACTCAGAATGATTCACACGTCCGCTCCCTGGCTGTTCACCCGGTTAACCACCCCCATAGTGGGGTTCCTCCACAGGAGGGGTGTCTGGTACTTTGCGTAACTGGACGACTCGCTAGTAGCAAATCGAATGACGGACACCCTGTCACGCCATCTCGTTTTCGCACGTCGGCTCTTGGAGCAATTGGGGTGGATTATCAATCTCCCCAAGAGCGAGTTAACCCCTTCTCAGAACTTGCTGTTCATCGGAGGTCGGTTCAACACGGTGTCCCATCGCCTCTTTGTCCCCCCAGACCGGTGGCACAAGATTCAGACGATGATTGCCAAAGTCTTAGCGGTGCAACAGACTGTTCACTTTTGGGAACTGCTGTTAGGGCTACTTGTATCAGCCCAGGACTGCACCGAAAGGGGTCGTCTCCAACTCCGCCCGCTGCAACGGTTTTTAATCCAGTTGTTAGCAACGGAGGTGAACAGTGCGACCGTCGCCCTCCCGGATCGGCTCCGACCGCATCTGGAGTGGTGGACGGTCCCTTACAATGTCTTATCAGGAGTCTCTATGCGGCCCTACCGGGCCACGTTGAACCTGTATACAGACGCCTCTCTAGTGGGCTGGGGCGCCCATCTAGAGGGGGAGGTGAGCTCGGGGCTGTGGTAGACGAACTAGGTCTTCACATCAATTGTCTCGAGTTCAAGGCAGTGATCAACGCAGTCAATCACTGGAAGCATCGTCTTGTCGACGCCCGGCTCATGCTGGCGACCGACAACACGACGGTAGTGTCCTATGTGAACAAACTGGGGGGAACCCACAGTCACTCGCTACTCGATCTCACGTTCGAGTTTTACGCTCTGGTGGACAGTGTCCCGTGCCAGATACGCGCCCGTCACATCCCAGGTGTGTGGAACGTACTGGCCGATGCTCTATCGAGGCCTCAGGATCCGAGCCCCACAGAGTGGATGCTGAACCCAGTAGTGTTTCAGTGGCTGTGCGAACGTTTGGGTCGTCTGATGGTCGACCTGTTCGCAACGCGGTTCAACAATCAACTCCCGTTGTTTGTATCACCAGTCCCGGACCCGAGGGCCATCGATCACGATGCTCTCGCGTTAGACTGGACGGGCTTGGACGCTTATGCTTACCCGCCGACAGCGTTGATACCACACATTCTAAGCCGGCTCCGAGGAGTTCGCTGTCGGATGTTACTGATCGCACCCATGTGGCCGAACAGATCGTGGTACCCCGACTTGCTGACCCAGGTCACGCAGTCGCCACTTCCACTGCCTGTGAGACCGGATCTCTTGATCCACCCTCACACCCGTCAGCTTCATCCAAACGCAGGGCAGTTCAATCTGCACGCGTGGATGTTGTCACCGAGCGTCTGAGAGTAAAGGTTTTTCTCGCCGGGCGTCTCGGGCATACGTTAGTATGCATCGTGATTCTAAGGTGTATAATGCACGTTGGGTTATTTTCACGAAGTGGTGTTGTAAACATCACATTCATTCGCCAGATAAGGTATCTGTGCAGGATATTGCTCGTTTCATGTCTCACTTGGGAGAGACCCGGAAACTCTCCGGGGGTTC